TGCTCTCAGGTTATGCTAAATTCTCTTTGTGTATCTGCTAAACACTCATCCTCTTTGGAGTTTTACAGTCAAATCATGCACCGCATGAAGTTGCTTCCTCAAATCAGCTTTGAGTTTGCCATTTTGCAACTTCAACAGAGCATCTTCTTCCTCTAATTTTAAACACTGCTGACTGTAGCATGGAGCGTAGAAGAGCAGTGCTGCAAGCATCCTTAAATCTTGGCTCATCTCTCGACAACATAATAGTATCCACATAAAAAACTAGCTTCAATTCATGGTCTGGATACATAATGGGAAACATTTGCCATAGAACAGCAAAGATTGAAAACACACTGTGCACACAAGTTCCCAGTTAAAAAGTGTTTATGCAACTCTAAAGGCAACAGCCAGGCTCCCGGAGCCCCTCGGGGATGCAGCCGTCTTTGACCTGTCTGGCCACTGGATGTCATCGTTGCTCTGTGGGGACACAGCTATGGGACCATTCTCTCAAATACGGGTACTGACTCTTTAGTTTAATGCAGTATATTTCAACCTAAGCAAGAATATATCGTGCCACTAAAGGCAGGGATGATTCAGTCCCCCAAAACTACATTCAACTTTTCACTTTAAAACTTAGTAATAAACCTCGCTCTGCTCACGAATTCTCAGGACTTTCTCTACTGGTTGGAGAATGCCATCATCAGTCTCATTTGCACACAAGGAAAAAGGGTGTTGGCTAGCGCATGCTCTTCCCTTGAGATCAGGGCTCGGTGTGATGGTATGCTGATGGAGTCAGTACAGTCTGAGGGGTCGCCAGCTCTTATAGGCTTGGAAGGATTAAAGGAAAAAAGACCCCAAGCAAAAAAGTGGCAGAAAGACACTCCCATGGAGTTGTATGACTTTTGCTGATGAGATGTAGTAGCCCACTGCCAAGGCTTGCATTTAAACAGTCTGAAAACTTAGAACATTAGTTTCAGTTTTGACCTAAATTCTATTAGCATCTGTCCCCTCTTGCTGAGGTCAGTGAGATTCATAGCCAGCCACTGAAGGTCCCTGACTACAGACCAAATTATTCTGTACAACAACCTGGAGATGCTTACATGAAAGCAATGAAAGATAGTGACAATTAACTGTTCACCCCTTCCAAATCAATGCAACAGCACCACTATCGTGCCTTCCCGGAGAGCTACCAAAGAACTCCAGTGACACATCCCAGCAGCTTACTAATGTGTTGTGGTGATTTGTAATCATCTAGCTCACACACATCCTGTACTGGCTGCAGAGAAAACAGTGCTTTTCTTACTCTCCTAAGAGACTTCTCCCTCTAACAGGCAGCAGGTAGCTCTGTGACTCATCACACAGCTGTCCATCAGTCTCAGACAGACCTACACAGGCTGCTGGCAGCTGGCCTGTGACACCGGCACCGACCAGTTTCTGCGTGGTGTCTTGCTGAAATGGTCTCTCTCAGCACTGGGTAACTCTCAGTACAATAACTTCAAATTTCACTTCTTTTAAGACGCCCACCCACTTTAATTCATGAAACATGACTGTTAAATGAAGACTGCAGGAAAAAAGACCACAAGCACCCCAGGACTTATGTTTCACATATTTCTGCTCTCTCAAAATGTAGTTGTTGAGTGGGAAATATGCCCCTTTCCCTCCTTCCCACTTTCAAAAGCTCTGAACTGTCACGTTTCCAGAAACGTTACTGCCAAAAGCACTCTACAAACCAGCAGTACAAGACAGAGCAATTACGAACAGAGCAGACAGCTCCATTCAACTTTGCAAACAACACAAGAGAGTCTTACCCTGAGCTGTCTGAGTCTGGACAAAGGTTTTTATGAGAGTGTCTGTGGTCTGAGTGTAGAGAGAGAGAGCATATCGAAGTGACTGCAGGTCCGGACTCTTCTCTAAGAAGGTTTTTTTCAGACCATTCCCACCAGCATGGAAATATTGCTAGGAGTAAAAAGAAAGAGGAAAAATACTGAGGAAGAATTGCAACCAGCACCCAACTTTTACAGGCTTTTGTGCATGTGAATGGGAAAGAGCAGGAAAAATTCACAAAACAGCTTCTGTACTGGATATCCAGCTCTTAAACCAACTGATACCAACTGCTCACGGTTTTCTTCTTGCAAAGCACTTAAATATAAACATGCTGTCTTCCAGCACACACCAGCCACCTGAGCCTATTCAGGTTTATGCAAACATGGCGATATCACTCACTCAGTGTCTTTATCACTGTAACAGACAGACTCCTGCCATCTCCTGAACAGGGACAGGCTCTATCGTCCCAAATAGTATTTGAGGATAGAGCAAGAGGATGACAGAGACAGAAATGGAATCACTTACTTTGATAGTATCCAGTGCCAGATCCAAAACCGCACACTGCTTTGGAGTGAGACTCCTAGTTTCTTCTCTCACCATATGATCCTGCAAACAATCATTATATTTGACATGAGTATGCTATCAGAGACTAAAGGAAAAGGAGTCCCCAGTATCATCTCTTTCTCTGCGTTCATGCTGTGGCTACATGGACACAGCATTAATTCAGCTGTTTAAGGAACGCTTAATGGAGGCTCTCAGAGTCATTTATAACAGCTTAACTTGAAAATAAACCCACTTTCTCTGTTTCTTGCAGGCACACAGGAGAGGAATAAGGACAGAAACGGGAAAGAAGTTAAATGACAATTTAAAATCACAGTTGGTCTCTCAGAAAACTCAATCAGGAATCTGCTTGCTACCCCTGTCATTCTAGAGTAGTCAGAACAAAACTCTCAAACCACCACGTAAATCAAGGAATTCTAAGAACCAGATATTGGGCAAAGTTATTAGATGCTGGTTGTGGATTTATTCAAACTCTTCCATCTACGAAGGTCACTAATTCATCATTACGTTGGTGTAGAGGAAGAAAAACAAACAAGCAAGCAACATGTTCTACAAAATACTTTTGCTAAAAGAAGTAGTTGTTTCCATTAAGACCCAGCATCTCAAAGAGCAAAGAAGGGATTATTGGGAAGGGATTCCCTTTCCTGCAGTGGGAGCCTATCCCCATTAAGACTCCTGCCTGACTACAAGGATGTGGCATTCTTTAGTATTTCACTCAACTCTTTCTCTCCAACGCTCAGTCTAGGTCTCAGGGAAAACCAGCACATTTTAGGAAGTGAAAGCTTTGCACAAACCCAAATTCTAACTGTCTGAGCTGCTGGAAGGTCAGACCAGCTGGCTGCAGCCTGTGTGCTGAAGAATTCAGGAAACAGATGCAGGCGAATCAGGCAAAGGCTACTTATCCCTACCTTGAACACGTCACAGCCCCTGATAAGAGACCGTTTCCAAGAGACGCATCTACTAAAGTGTCTTTGCGTAAAGCATGCCTAGTGTCTGGCATCACGTGTGCACTTCATGCCGATGAGCCTGCTGGCTATCTTGCAGCCTGGTGATTCTTCACACTGCCTGGTGCTATTCCGATTCATTATCGACCACGATCCATCTCCTGCCTGATGGAGACGGGGCTCACAGCAGCCTAGGTGCAGTGACAGGCACTCACCATGCTTCTCACAGACATCTATCTAGCACCATGGCACAGTCCTGCATTAAACCATACAGAAGATGCCTCTCAAGTCAGCTGTACAAGACAAGCTTGTACCTTGCCTTGTAGAGCTGACCTCTCAGACAAGACCTTGCCTTGTACCTCTCAGACAAGCTTGCACCACGCCTTCTTGAGTACTAGAGACGTGCCTCAACTTGCCTCTTTTCCCCATACAGGCTGCTCCTGGTCTGCATAGGTATATGCAGTGGCACAGCACTCTGTAAGCTGCAAAGTATCCTCTGTTGCAACAAGCTGTCCTTAGAGAGAATAGCTCTCCGTCCTTTTCTTCATGAGCTGGGAGTAATTCAATTGAAGATGATGTGGCTTCACACTTCAGTACACAGAGGGTAAAACACTTTCTCTGTCTGACAGTCGGATTAAGTGCACAATCAGCCAGAGCCCCAAGCCACATTCATGGAAGAGGCCAGTTTAGTCAGGGTAGCTGTGTCCCCAAGGCAGAGTGACATCCATGTCTGTTGATACGACTTTCTAGGTCTGTCTGCCAGAATCCCCACACTGTGACAGAAGCCAGGTGGTCAGCATGTTTCTCTTAAACCTAAAGAGCTCATTCAGCCCCACTCTGAGCGGTCACCCCACCAGTGTTCATGCTGTCACTGCACAGCAACATGTCACTGCTTTCTAAGACAGCTTCCCAGGGCCACTTCCTTCAACACATTATGTAAAAATAACCCAGAGACTGGACTGGTAATGCTCGCACCTACACACAGAGGAGCCCATGACTGTCATTCCCCTGCACACCTGCCCTCTGCAAATCCCACACTGTTCCTATAAAGGACTGCACAGAGTGCTACCCTGCACTTCCCAGATTGCCAAGCCAGGAGCAAGCCACAAATATTTACATCAAGTAATTACGCAACTTAAAGCAGAAGAAGGAAAGAAAAAATTTCCTGGTCTCTCATACTCATCCTTGTTCTCTCCACAGGTGCTCTCAGAAGAACCTTGCTGTCAGAGCTGGCTCAGCTGCTTACCCTGGGGGCAGTGCAAGGGACAGTAGGCTGCTGCTCCCTGCTCCAGCTGTCAGCTATGAAGCAAACCGAGCAGAGTTTGATAACAAATGGGAGGCAGATATGTGGCACCAAGGTGCCAGTGCCGGTTTTATGGTTGGTTTTCTGAGCATTTTAAAACACACTGTGAAATTGATTTGTCATCAGGACGAGAGCCTGTGCTTGTCAGGTCTGTCAGTCTCAGTTTTCAGCTGAGTTATTTGATTCACCAGGGCTCTGTTCCCCCTGTTCTGTTTAAGACAAATAAAGCTTAAAATCCATCCCACAATTTTCCCAGGCTTTTAGTGGAACTGCAAAATGCACAGAGAGGGCCTCTAATGAGCCATTTACTTGTGCCTTCCCTGTTAGCTTGTATGTGCCCGCAAAAACAAAAGGACCCCCCAAAAATTAAAACATCCACGATGCTTACACAGACCCAAATGATTTACACTGTTCTAACACCTCAACTTTTCTGGAAACTTTTGGACACAGTGTTGGTTCACACCACCCGTCTGAACCAAAGGTCATGAGAATTCAGGTAGCAGAGTGCTTTCACACTTGTGTACAGCTCTCTTGCCATCTGTGAAATCTTGTGTGCCTGTGCTGCTGTAGTCCTGTATGTGCATATGCAAATAAAGGCTTGAACACACACTCGGGCTTGCCGGATTTGCATGATTACATGCATTTCTAAAAATGCAGTCCAGAGTTACCAAAGTTAAGCTTTACAGCAACTGAACTGAAGACAGGCTGTTGCTGAGGGATGGCCTTCATCTCATCAGTGCCAATGGAAACCAAGCCAATGGGCAAAGCTTCCAACCCATCCCTGGCAAAAGACACCTTGTATATATTAAGAAATTCCAGTAAAGAGAAAATATGAAGGAAGTAGAAGGTAACAGTGAATGTCACTGACTACGCTTGAAAATGCAAGCGAGCCACAGGAACTCCCAGTCGTTTGTGCACAAACTTGTCCTTGTGATCTGGGAGGAGAAACAGAGCAAATTCAGAGCTCTCCCCCTTTGACACCAGGAGTGCCTGTAGAGGGCAGGGACGGCTTCTCTTCCTCCAGATGCTGGGTACTTGCTGCTGTTTTTGAAAGGGTAAGGATTACTGAGAGGAAAAGGAAGTCACACTTGGAGGCTGTGGTCCAGTTCCCACTCTCCCAGGCTGGCTACAAAGCTCCTCTCTCTCCATTTCTTCCATGGAAGCGACAAGGAGTTTTGTAAGCACAGGAAACAGTGGAGGTAGTGAAATCCTCAGGAGCCATCAGGTCACCAGGGAGAACAGCCTGGCTCTGAGAGTGCACAAGGCTGTTCCTCAGCACAAGTGACAGCTATTTCCCCTGGGGAATCACACTTGAGGGTTCATATTATGTCACTGTTAACTGCTATACAACAGCCTCAAAATGCAGCTGGAGAAAAGCATGTGCATCTAATGACACACCTGCATGTCCAGATCACTTACTAGGACTGCTAATAAGCACTGCCTTAAATGAATTGTGTACTGACCTGGCTCATAAGCTCGTGTATGTTAAATGTGTCTGCTGGGCAAGGGAAATAGACAGTCGTCTAAAGACAGCTGTAATAAGTGTGCAAGACAAAAAAAAGATATGGGAAAAGATGAATTTTGAAATGGCACTAATCACTTAGGAGAATGCCCTTTGCAGTGGGAATATTTCCCTGATCATGCTTCGAGACAGAGTTCACATTCAGCTCCGTCTTCCCTGCAGCACAACTGGTGCACTGGGACACTTCAGATCCAGGCTCCCTCTTGCACAATACCTGTTTTCTGGCACAAGTCAAACCACAACACAGCACGATCTGCTTGTTGTACGGCATCACTATTTTCATACCATTCCTGTCGTGACCAGTGAATTGATGCTTGATTGGCTTATGATGAGGTGGTGTGCACTTAGTAATGCTCATGTCATGCACTGTCACGTCATGCACTGTCAAAACACATCAACACAGCCTTCACACTAAATGCCAGCTTGCCTGTAAAGAGAGCCCACGCAGAAGAAATTTACAGACGCAGGCTTTCTTCCATAAGCAACAGTTATTTTTGGAACAGTTCATACAATTCATCAAAAGCTAGCGCAATCATCTTTCCTACCCATATCTCGTTATGAGGATCACATAAGGGACTCCCTTTTATACATGGGGATACAGAGGAACCAGTCAGATATTGAGATCTCTATTTTTTCACTGTAAACTGATATACCAAAGTGATCACTGTATCTACAGAAGAGAGAAACTACTTTGATGATTAAATGCAGAATAAAATTTAACAGTTAATGTAAACACAACACTAACGTTACCGGAATGCATTTAAAAGCGCATTTAATGCCTTTAAAAGCATTTCTCTACAATTGCATTCAGCAACAAACCACTGGAAGCACAAGACATGCTATGTGCTACTACACTTTCATGCTTACACACACGGACATTAACACAAGCCATGCAGAACAATACCTTCAACTTTGACAAGTGTCCCAGTTCCTTAGCAGCACTGAAAATCAACTGTGTCCCCTATGATTACAAGAAGTTAGAAAGAAAGGAGGGGAAAAAAAAGATTAAAAACAAGATTTGCAGTTTTTCCTTTGAGCAAGTCAAGTCAGCTCACAGCTAGAACTTTACATAACCACGTCAAGGCCAGCCACAATAACTTGCCTCTGTGTCAGTTTATTACCTAGTATAAAACCTGGCATTTCCGTGGATACCACACCAAGAGCTATTTCAGAGCACAATACTCTGCTAACTGGTTCACTCTTGCTTACAGCAGCTACCCATCTAAACAGGATGTGCCTCCAAATGGACTGCAGAGGCTGGGGTGAAGGCAGTGCACTGGCTTCATTTCCAAGTTCTCCTTTAGCTTTCCAGTCTAAATACACATGAAGACACCATAAGACTGGCCAAGGCACAAGATCATACAACTGACGACAAGCTCTCTATAGAAGTAGAGTTCAAGCAGTGGGGTGGGGGTAAGCATACATCAGATCAGAAACAAAACTGGATCTGAGCAGTTTTTTGGGCGAGAGATCAGCAAACAAAGTGCAGTGAACACTACAGCATCGCCTTTACATGTCAAAAGGTTGGCCAATGGCTCTTCTTCCCCAGCTGTGGCTTACTGATGCTGTGTGACCAATGAAGAAACAAAAAAGGAAGATAAATCCCAACAATGGGAAATCTTGCTTCAAGTCACTTGCAGTCTAGTATAAGGAATTGTTACATACTTTTGTTGCAACAGTTACAACAAAGATATTTTTCCTTTGCCCAACCACAGCATTTCTCTGTTGTGTAATATTCCTTTTGCCTGGGGAGTTAAGTTCAAAACTTAATGAGAAAGCCAAAAGCAACCAAGACAATTCTCCAGTCTCTTCTCCCAGAGATGCTTTACGAGGTGTGCTGGAATTTATTTTCTTCTACTTCACTCCTTTTCATTCATCTAATCTTGCCTTTTTCTTTAAAAAACTCACAATTGCCTATTACTCCATGCAGAATAAAATCTCAGCCTACTGTAATTCTGGCTATGAATTGTTCATCTATCACATCATGAAACTTTGCCCTCCACTTGAGCCCTCTTAAGCTAGTTAGATTTGGGCTTTAGGACCAAGCCAAAGCTATGGGTGACCCCTCTTCCCTAATTAAACCTTCCTTGTATTATCTCTTTTTTTTCCTTAGGTATGTCAGAAGGGCTGCCCTCTCAAAGGTGATCTTTGGCTCTCCTCGATTGTAACTGGTCATTAGGGGCTAGCATTAAAAGTAAATGTCACCACAGATATCAGTTGAGAAGTGCCTGCGGGATGTCCCAGTTACATGTCTGAAACAAGATTCCAGGGACAGACACTGGTGGGTGGCACTTTCCAGCCTGATTTTTTTGCTCAGGAGAACACTTGGGAGAAGATGAAGCTCATCTCAGTTGGAGCCTGCTGGCTCCAGGAGGACAACATTTCCCCAGAGGTCTCCAGTACATCCAATTCTCCTTTCCACAACCCTCCTTCCCTCTCCTTTACTACTCTTTCTCATCTCAACAGTCTTTCACCCTCCCACTCAACCACAACTGTCATGACCACTCCCCACCCTGAAGTCCCTCGAACTGTGACACAGCAAGACGCAAAACCAGAACTTTTTATCAAATTGCTTTGCCCCTGCCTGCGCCACTCCGTTTGTTTTCTTTGCTGCCTCCCTTGGTATTTGTTTATTCGTTGCCTTTTAAGCCAGTGCTCTGTGAAGCAAGAACTACCTCATACACGCACTTGCAGAGAAGACTCTGGGAACTGGGTTCTACTGCAAAGATCATTGCTGAAATAATTTTTTCTAGGATTAAAGTTAACATCAGTCTCACGGATGGGTTCCCCTCAGCAAAAAAGTGTCTTTATACCTGTTGCTAGAGGTAGCAGGTACCTTCTTACAGAAGGAAAACAGGAAACAGTTTACAGTTGTAACACTGGAACTGGGACCCGCCCTACGGACACCGGACACCCTCTGTCCATTACAAGAGCAGCCCAGAAGTGAATTTTCAGATGAGACACTTCTTCTCTAGTTTTGCCACCTTCAGAAATTTCTTCAAGCTGAAAGACTCTGTGACCTGGAATCACAGACAACCACTTGATTTGCTCTATCTGTAACCACTACCTAACCCTCGCTGTTCCTTAGCCTTTCATGTTTGTTGAATACAAATCAATACAGGATGAACATTACTGACCTTGTAGCTAAACAGAAGCCCTTGGTAATTGATTAAATTCACAACTCTTGGCTGGGAAAAAGTGCAGGCAAGGACGATGTACCCATAAAGGAAAGCTTCTGAAATAAGATTAGGAGCTTCACTTGCTGCTGTTATCCAATTGGTAGTGTTAGAGTACAACTCTGTAAATTGAAAGAGTATCAAATTCTCTGTCCTTCCAGTGAGCAAGGTTGAACGTGACTGCTCAACAGGAGCAACAAAGAGATTTCACTGCAGGCCACACCAAATAGTTCAAGGGACACAGCTTCAGCAACCCTCTGGTACCCACCAGATGCGCCTCCTGTTCTATACGACTGGTCACAAAGTTTGTTTGATTTACGGGTCTTGAAAATTAAAGTTTTCATGTCTCTTGACCAAGCAGAAAAAACCCTAACATTTTTATAACTTGAACTTTGAAAAAGTTAAGTGAGTAATCTCAAAATGCACTAACATTATCATTTCTTGGTCAACTGTTTTCCAACTTCATTGGACACTTTTTAAAAAATATACATTTGAACAACATTAACTAGCCTAGGCACGTAGTCTCCCTTCTGCAGGCTTCTAAGAAGGGCAGGTCAGTAACGCTGAGTGATACCAAGTGACTCGATATGCTCCAAGGAACAAAGCTGCTCAGATAACTACTCCTCAGTCCTCGCCCACTAAGAAAATCCTCATTAATCAGTGCCAATCTCTGTCAAGGTGTCTGCAAGGAGAAGTTATTTTACTGTTACACTGAGTTTGTCATCAATGGTGGTAAACATCTAATGAAAATCCAGACAGCTCCTTCCTCTGCCAAATGGGATTCTTGTAAACAAGATGCTACACCTCCTGAAACATTTATTCATGGAGAACACATCACAAAGCTCTACATATAGCACTTACTTCAGGTGCACCTCTAGGGAATAAAACCAACCAAACTCAAATATCAGGAAGTTTTGAGAAAATCAAGGATGGAAGATGAGGAAAAATCAAGCCCTTTTTATAAACTGTTTCTGCCTAGCTCTGTGGCAAACATAGCTGGAACGGGGACAGTCCTTAGTGCTGGTTTTCCTGTTTCTTCCCACGAAAGCAGTTTTACCTTCCTAAACTTTTTGAAAACATGAAAGACATCTATAGTTCACAAAACAAAGATTTTAAGTTTCTGTTAACGGTCTGACTCTTTTTTTCCCCTCAGCTGAAAGCGTTCAGAGAAGGATCATAAGCTGACTCAAGTCTCATTGCTAGAAACCAACAGAACTGCACTGATTTATATCCCAAGAGGCTCAAACTCTCACAGCTTAACTGTCCTACTACTCAGATGACAAAGTCAGGAAACAAAAGCCTACTGCTTTTGAATTCCAGTCCTTTTTTGGAAAATGCATTATTACTCAGGCATATTTTTCTGAGATATACCAGTGCAAGGAAGTTTTATCTGGTATTGTACATTCCTTTGCCAGATTTTTTTTTTTTAATTCTTACGTTCAACAACAATGAGATCTGATCATTTATTAGCAGCATTTAAGTTCATTTAAAAACTCTATCATCAGGCAATGTTTGCTACCACCTATTGAAAATTAGACTATTTTTTAGTTGCTATGGTGTATTAAACACTGAGAAAATCAGCTTACAAGTGGGGATGAAAAAGAGAAAATAATTTCCTGGCGGCACAGAAATCTGAGTGCCTGTGCAGTTCCGAGACCATCATTTTATTCAAGGCTAAGAAAGTTTTGTCTCCATCACAGAGGTGGTCTTGGACTTTTTCGCTCCTACCTAGCACAAGGGAGAGGATTCATTTAAACTAACACAAGTTAAGATAGGTTTCAGAAAACCTCTTAAAACCACGTGCTCCTTCACTACAGAATAGCTCTGGAGTGGTGTTGCTTGCAGAGGAGCCTGAAGAACAGCCAGTTTGCAAATCAAGTGTAAAATCTGTCTGCAGCTTAAAGAAAGTTTTTTTTTCTTATTCTGGGCCTTGTTCTCACATAGTGAAAAGAAGTCTGATGAGTAGAAAAAAGCACAGCAGGAGGAAGCACAAATGGTGCCTCACGTGAACGGCTGCATCGCACCGTGTGAAAGAAAGGAGAGGTTCCAAAGGAATCATCTGTGTTTAAATTAAGCAACTCTTCATTGACCTGACTAGTCACTGATGGCATGCTGTAGCTTCATCCTACGCAGTGAGGGAGAAAGAAATGTATAACTAATCCACTAATATCCCCAAGCGTTGTGCACTGAACCCCAAAATAAGGATTCTCAGAGAGCTGTGTTTTGCACAGCCACTCATCCAAGATAGAGAGTGTTTAATTAAATGTTGATCTTTACTTAAACCAGTGAGGTGTGAACTGCTCGGTGAGTTACTGGAGATTACGTTGCTACTAATGGCACAACCTACAAGCAGTCTCTACTCAGAGAGACAGAAGCCAGTCACCTGAAAGTCATTAAGGCACCAGCAGCTCAGGTGTCAGAGTGAGAGGCTGTAAAACTGCCCCGTCCCCATGACATCCTTCACCGGCAGGAGCTGACTGCTTTCTCACCTCAGCCCCACCCTAAACAAAATCTTCCAGAAGCAGCAGAGAATTGAAGAGCAGAGCTTAGATTTTCCTCCCTGTGTAATACAGGCTGAGCTAATTTAATTGGAATAGATCAGTCCGGAGAATAACAGGTGTCAAAAGCACTGTGCAGTGACATGGTCACGCAAGCGACAAGTGAGACACATTGCAGTGTGTCGAGAACCTTCTACCTGAGTATGCTTTCCATGACCATCATCAAAAACACTTTTGTACCTCTAGTTTACAGAAAGGAGAGAAAATACTCCATGAAAGGGACTGTTTTCAGCTATGCATAACTCCTACTTCTTAAGAGCTGTAGAGGAGTTTTAGGAGGAAAACCTTCATCCAGCGGTCCTTCAAATGCGCAGAGGCAGCAGTAGAGCTTTTGGTTGCTGAGGACAGTGAGTTGCAGGGCCTGGGGCTATTTCTGAATCTGATGTGCCTTCTTTTAAGAGAAAGCAAAATTAGGTAAGTGGTGCATGGCAGAGAAGCAGAACAGCAAAGAGAAAGTACTGCTTCAGCCCACACTGCCAGCCTGGAGTTTTGCCCTGCCTTGCCCTGCCAGCCTTCACTACTAGGATGATGAAAATCTGGTGGTGATAGAATAAAACACTATGTCCCAGGGGACAGTGGAAGCAGCTCTTTGCCCCTGCAGCCCCTCTAGCCTCACCACAGGTTCCCTGCTCAAGGACTGCAGACAAGGTCATTTCAATCATTGCATTGTTCACAACCGCCTTTCTGAAACAGCAACTCTTTTCCAGTTTGGACTAGTTCAGCCTACTCACTACAACACAATTGATTAGACAGCTAAAAATCCAGCTATGAACGTTTTGCATTATCTCTGAAAACTGAGGATGTGCTTCATTACACAAAAAGAGCTTCTCAATTTGAAACCGAAGCGACAGCAACAAGAAATTCTTTGTAAAAAATCCTCAAAGTGGCTTACAGCAACATCCCACAGGTTGGAAGAATTGGCTGATCACAGTTATTGCCTTCTTCATGATACAAGCACTGATTCACTCTCCTACTCCGCCTTTAAAATTCAAAACTAGCAAGTATAAAGCACAAGCAGCTCCTCCCTGGTTCTCTCCAAAGCCCTTGATCTCACTGCTTCCATTCTGAAGGAGTCATGTTAATGCTGTTCTTACATGATGATTTTAGCACCTGTCCCCAAAGACTCCTTTTTAAAGCAATTCAACCAAGAGAAAGAAATTTCATCCTCTTAAATTTAGATTTTTTTCTCCTTTATAAATTAAAAAGGCAAGTTGAAATCATTACTCCAAATCCGAGCAAGCAGTCTTTACCAAATTTACACCTCGTGCTAATTTTACGCTTAGTAGGTACGACAGCACATTGCATCTCAGCAGTTTTGTTTAAAGTTGTCATCATTGAGGCCAGAAGCAAAGGCCTTCCCTCTTAGAGCAAGAAACACCTAGTGCAAGATGCAGGTTTGCAGCACTTCTCTAGACACTGCAACTCAAGAAGTCCACTCAAAATATGTAGGCAACTGCTGAATAGTGAAAACCACTATTGTTCTACCCATTACCGGGGAAAGAAAAAATCAGCATAAATTAGCCACAGACCACAAGTGTACTCCAACACGGAGATGAAAAGAAGTTCTGGATTATCTCCAAATAATGAGTTTACAGCCCAAACTTCACACTGCCTCCGACGGAGTGTCATCCCCCAGAGCAGCTGGACATGCGTTACCAACATTTAATCAGTTTCTGTTGTTTCTCAAAACTGGGGAAGAGATTGATCTCCCATTGTTAAAAACATCACTACATTTGTGACACACATTCATCCAGCATGTCCACACAGCTGAACAATTATATAAAAGACTGCCTTTGAAGGCAAACTATCTGGACATGCTTCCAACTCCTCAACGTCAGAGACACGGAAATCATGCCAGCTCATACTGTTGTTAAAGCCTTCTGGAGGGGTAAAACAGGGGGGTGGTGTCATTAAAAAGCAAGCCCAAATCAACCACATCCCTACAGAGAGACATCTGACTAATAGATAACAACAATCAGGCAAAAGTGTTTACAGATGTTGATCTAACGCCATGAAGACAACACTAACCGTCCAATAATCCCCCATACACAGCTCTCTTTAAAGAATTGAGAATCTCTCATCAATGTGATTTGATACACTTGATGATAACTCCTTTCGGATCATGGATTTTGAATTGTTTTTTTTTTTCTAGAGTGTGCTCTGTATCTTGCAACTCTACTATAAATAGAGCTGCTCTCTTACTTTACTAGGTTTCAGGCATATTTTTCCATCCTCGAGCAGGCTACATGCAGGCAAATTTACCTGGACAGATGACTCATTAGGTCAAGAAGATGAGTTACACAAGCAATGGCAACACTTTCTGCTGTGAGTCAGGAAGGAGAAAATGCTTTACCGTATGGTCTGTAAGAGGAGGCAGCACAATCAGCTTCTCCATGGTATTCATTACCACCCTCCAGAGCTCTTTCAGCACCCGTTTCAACACCGTCTTTTCACACACAGTTGCAAACAGTGTCAGGCTGCAGGGAGAGAGCAAGAACTGCATTAAGTTCAAAGAATGCAATTTACAAGGAAAAAAGAGATGTGTACGGGAGAATCAGTGCCCCATCCAAAACAGTTTGTCATAATGATTGCTTTAAGGGTAAAAATTTTCCCTTTTCATAAAGTACAGCCTGTCTTCACTCTTGGAGTTCTAGCACTAAAGACGTTTGGTCAAAATGGATTATGGACATTTCTGATCTCAATCATTTCTGTTTATTGACCTGAGGATTACAGAAGGTTGATACAAGTTATGGTGGTTGGGAAGAGTCCAAACAAAAGCAGGTACCATTGAACCGGTTCCCTTTAAGAAAATACTTCCTGATGTATCGGGTTTACAGAGAGTATAGGAAAAAGTTACGAACAAATACTGAATAATAGGTTTAAAACTTCAGGAGGTTATTATAATGATTTTTGTTGAATACCCAAATTAATACTTCCCAGACTGTTATGCAGAAGTTCTTGCACAGCTTCTGATAGCTGCTGAAGCCTCTAAATCATCTACCTTTATAACCTCCTCAAAGCATTTCTTGGAGTACTCTGCCTTTTGTTGCAATTGCATTCACTACCAATTACCTGCCAAATGATTATTCCCTTTCACATAAAGAAGTTCTGCTTTATCTCCCTATTTATTGCTCCTTTATTATTGTACAGGCTACCAAAACGGATAAGAAATGTTATGATTCTTCTTCAAAACCGTTGCTGGACTTTGGCATTTACTGATCACACAGGGAGAGCTGCAAAACAGGAACTCTGCAGCCAGCAGCAGTGCACAGGCAATAGCTGACTCTTCTACATTGTGTAACGTCATCTCCCACATCCCTCTTCTTCCCATCGCTGGTTAGACAGTAAATGAACGAAACTGAGCAGGGACAAGACTGATGTGGGTAGGATGCAGGAAGCATCGAAACGACTCTCCTTCTGTAAAGGAGGAAAGAAAATAATCGAGGTTTGGGTAATCATAATCAAACCGACTTGCTCCACAGCTGGACGAAAAGCCACGAAGGAAGGTGGCTTCTCAGGATTCATGAAGGCATCCGTGGAAAATACCTAGATTGGTGGGTAGTGATTGCTGAATAGTCAGTTACTACACAATGAGCCAAAAGACAGATGGGACAGTCAATACAAAGGGCAACAGAAGAAATTGTATTTTCAACTTGTAAAGCTTCACATCTCTTGCAGCATCTATTGTGAAAATAGCTGGCCACCCCTTTCAAAATAAAGAACTGCAAGAGTGTCAGCAAGAATTTTAACTTCTACAATGATTAGAAACTATTTCTCCTTGTAGATCAAGGCTTAGCTGACAAGAATTATGTGCAGTTAGCCACAAAAAGTCCCTGTACAGCTGAATCATGCTGCATGGTGTTAATGGCAACAGTTAATTAAAGCAATGGATCAGGCTTATGTACGTCACATAGTTCAGAAGCTTATTTTCTAGTCAGACCAGCACCAGGTATGACTGGGATACTGAGTAGTATATGTATCAAGTATGTAAGTACAGTTTGCAATACATTCGTTAATTGGCTACAGTACAATTTGTATAGGAAAAAAAACCCCATAGCTAGTAGATTTAGAATTTCAGTCTACAGGAGTGTGTTTTGCTAATGGTTATAATTGCCAGAGGGAGAAAGGAGAACCGACAGTATGCTCTGGCACTGAATGAAGGCTGAAGAGGTGATCCACGGCTTCAGAGAGGGGGAGATGTGGGAAGAAAAGCCATTAATTCTTCCTGAGATTTCGGAGGCTGGATATCTCAAGAACAATCCAAGAACATGGAGCTATTTTCCTTCCGCAATCCTGTTCCCAATATGATGCTCTGTATGTGTAACATACTTGAAGACTCGCTTACTTTCCATCCAGGAAATCCATCAATGGCCTCAGGACATTATCTGCATCTTGTGCAACTGTGTTTCTGGCATTAGCAGCAACATTTCCTGTCCCTTTCACTTGACAGAGGATATCAGACATTTGCTTGACACACTCATCAATACGAGTCTGAAAGCTGAACAGATAGGAGAGAGGCAAACCAAGATTATCAGTGGCAGAGATCTCAGCTCTAGTACATAAGAGAAAACATTTTAAGTCAATAAACCATGCACTCAATTCTCCCCAAGATCTGCTGCTCATTTCCTTATTGTCTTTGTTACCAAGGGTCATGCTATCCAGTTCCTTATGCCCACCATCCACAGACAGCCTACCACCCCTGAACACAAGAGACAATCACATTTGAGAAGAGTTTGCTCATTCAGCTTGCAAAAAGAAATGATCCTTTCGTGATTTCAATGAACATTGTTATTCTTAGCTCAAAGCACCCCGCTGTACCTTTGCCTTCTACGCAGGGTACTATATCACAGAGATGGGGATACTGCACGGCGCAATGGCACAATGCATGCACAACTCTGAGCACCCAGCAGTCCACCAGCAGTAATGCGGTTACGACCCACCATAGGCTAAGTCTTTAAAATAATAGAGACAGCCTGAAGGCAGGCAGAGAGCAGTCCACTGCCACAGAGTCCATACCATATCAAAGTGTCAAAATAGGATGTGGGGCTCAGCTGTGAAACGAGCAGTGTCACTGCAACAAAGCGACATGCAAGCCATTAAAGCACAGTTACTGTTCCATCTCTTACTGCTAAGAGGAGGTTCAGAATGAAATAATACAATGGTTTAAAAATAATGAATAGATCAGCAGAGCTGTCAACATATCAATTCAGCGAATAAAGGAAAAGGCTTTGACATTTAAGAGAACAGTACTAACAACAGGCATTACAAGTAACACTTAGCTATCCACTAACAGCACAGAGGTTTAAAACCAGGAAGAGAAGTCAGTGCTAGGAGGCAGGGTAAAGATTTAAGAGCAGAAAAACAGGTTTGGAAGTCAGCTTTGTATCTGCATAAGAGGCCTGAACTTCTGCTGTGTGAGCCACCTAGGACATCTGTGGGTTGGATGCTATCATAAAACTCCTCTGCCCTGTGGCTCTCATCTTTCTTCTCCACCCTGTCACATCTTTCCTCTCCTGCACTGCCACCTCCAGCCTCACGGTCCCTCTTACTCACTTCTAACCTTGCCTCTCACTGGAGCAATTCCAGAAAGCAACTCCAAAGCTCTTTCGCCATGCAGCCTCCACTTCCACCTTCCCCACTTCTAGCAGAGAGGCTTGTGGCAGTCAGTTATGGCTACAACAACAGCTTAACCAGAGACATAAGTCACACCAAATAAAACAGTACCAAGAATTTCCTGTACTGCTGACAGTCCCTATTCTCTTACAGGCTAATTTCACCCCACGGTTCTCCCAAATACTCCATCAATTGCAGGACCCTGCTTCAAGATGCTGTAAACCCCCAGCCAGGGGATGAAAAAGTAACAGGATCCCTTAAAAGGTAAAAAATAATAGGAGGTCACAAAAAAAATTGTCACCAATTAAGAAAAATGATAAATCAGTTACTGTGGCAACAGATTCACCTGAAAGTGAAGCTTGTGTAGATGTATAGTTTGACAGGAGCCCTTGGCAGCAGCAAGTTAAAAGACAACCTCACCTATGCTGTCAGACAGGGCCTTCTGCTCCCTAATTCCCACAGGAATTCCCTCCTTCACTCTTTACAGCCTCCAAGAACAAAACAGCAGCTAGCCTTGCGTGAAGTATAAAACCTTTCAAGGGTCCTTTTCTCTATGATATGCTTTAAAGTAGAAAATACTTCTATGCCCAGACATAATCCTCTCTCAGCGCAAAGGTGGTGACGCTCTCCGGATGCGTGCTGCTTTCCCAGCAGGCGCAATTATCTCATATAGATGAAGAAAAGTTGAGATCTGCAGTGTCAGGTGTGCTCAGTGTTGTAGGAGCAACTGTTTACAGACTCTGCACAGAATATCGTGGATATCTGTCTTACCTCTCACATCTATATCCTTTAGAAGATCCTGCTTATTACGGTAAACGGCAGTTCTGCTTTTCATTCCCTATTACTGTCAAGGAACGTGCAAAGCATCTGAGCTGTCTGACTGGCTAAATCTCTTGCTGGCACATCTCTCTAAAACACTCCCCAGTATGTATGCTGATACTGAATAATCTCTTTATTTGCAAATAATCTCATATTTGCAAATGTCAAGATTGTATCCTAATTGTCTTGTATCAGTGAAACCATGGAGACAGGTCTCAGATAACAAAATTCACCCCTTAATTATTATTTCTCACTCATCCCCCATCTAATTATGAACCTTATCGATTCAATTCAGTCAGTCTGAATCTCTCAATTTCTTGCTACAGCATCCATTACTGGCAATGGGCACTCCTCACTTATCTCCCCACTTAGCTCTGTGTGCTAAAATCCAAATAGTCGCTCACAAATCCCACCATGACTTTTTGGTCATAAGTACTGCAAATCTGTAGACTGCAGGAGGCCAAGCTGGTACAATTTGCCTTATTCCCTTTGCCCATGTTTCAGCTATACTACAGTTCGTGCCTGCATTAACCTTGTTATAAAGCACAACATGAAATGAATGGGGTTTATCACGAGAAATGGTTGTTTTTGAAGACCAGTTGGGAACCCTGTATTTCTAGATTTCGCTTAACTGACACCTTTTATGGTTCACTACAAAATTATTATGAAGTCGAGCACATTTTTCTCCTTTGGTAAATGGTAACATGATTTGCAATAAAACTGAACTGCTATCAATTATTCTGGCAGTATTTTAAAGAGCTTTTCCCTCGAAACATTAGAAAACACCATTCACTGCAATATTAAAACAAGTCAATCTCAAATTCTAAACCTGTTTCCTTCCTATTCCAGTATTCATTCAACAATCAGAAATCTGTCTGCTGTTTCATACATTTAGAGCAGAATGTTTAAACAAGAATGTTGCTTCAAAAACGCTAAGCTGGAAACGGCTTTCCAAGCAACAAAGGAGCAGGCAATTCTGTTACTGACAAGCACTACTTACAGGGAAAACAAAACAAAACAAAAAAAATCACTCTATGTAATTCAAATACATTTCACGGTTGAGAGATCTCCATGTTACATTTTTAAGCAGAGAAATATAGAAAAGAGAGACTTTAAAACCACTTCTCACTTCTTTAGAAGGTCTTAGTATTTGAAAGACCATGAATTTATGACTCAAAGAAAGTTGACACAAGTTTCTTTTCTCTTCTTAACCTGACCAAATGAGATTAGACAAAACAAAGGAATGCTTCAAGGACAGGGACCTCATTATACTCACCTGTTACCAAACACAGCACTCAGCTCATCCAAAACATTGTTCAACTTCACCTGGAGCTCTTTGAGATGGTCACTTGCTTCTGCATCCAACTGTGGATGAAAGAAAAGCACTTAGCTTGAACCCAGAGAGCAGTCTGCTGTCATTCACCGTGCTCCTGTTCACTGCTGAGGCCACTACTAATAAGCAGGTGAACTATCACCAGAGGACTCTGCCAGCTAGGATGCCCTTCTCCACTGCCTGCTGCTGTTACAGAAGCTGTGAAATCATCAACAGGTATCTGCCCAAACAGCAGGAGTGGATTCCCAGGCTCCAATACTCTCGGACACCCTTCCTGATACTTATAGAGCTGAGAAAGAAAGTGAATGTGAACTCCCTGTGGCCAACAGAGGAAGCAGACTGGGAAATCATCAAGCACTGTGCATCACCTTGGGCTCACGGGTCACTTCCTCACTCCAAGTCTAGAAGGAGACAGGGCTTTTCAGACTGGATGTTGTGTGTTTCTCGATGCATGGTCTTGAAAGATGCTATTTCACCTTCCAACCTGCTATCAGTATTCAAACTGAAGCCTGATCCAGCCACTGCTCTCAGAAGACTGGACCTCAGCTATTTTGAAAATCCGGCCACAATCCATAGCAGGAACTGATCACTTTTGGAAACCATAATCTCAGCTATGGGTATTGAGCATAAGTAGCTCTGCTCACATGGAGCCAGATAGCTTTTTGTATACAACTGTTCAGAGGAGACTTCACGAAACAAACTAAAAAAAGCGCGGCAAGCACCACACAGACATTGCTGACACCTTGGCACACACTCTAAGAAAGTGCTTGCTCCATTATTATCAGCCCGAAGGCACCTGTTTTTACATTCAACAGTGCCCTGTATTCCAGCTGCAGTCATCCCTCCAGCTTCAAAAGAGCCACTTCTGAGCAACCTACCTGTGCGTATACATAACAACAGATTGTTGTTGAATGCTTTGGAATCATTTGCTCTGAAAAAGTAACTTGTAAAACAGATTTGCCTTTGTACGCAGGGAGGCAAGCTGCTTGTAAAATAAACACCTTCCAGAAACATTTGCATTTGGCACTCAGAGCTTCAGCCCTTACCTCTAAGGCAGAGTATCTACAAATGTAATGAGCCAGATGCCAGTACAGTGGTTAAAAATCAGAGTACAGTGGTTTCGATTTTTACGGTATATCCACGCATGCAGCTATTTGAATATGACAGGAGTTCCCACTTCTATACACAGTCCTGAAGCCCTCTTCTTATTCCTTAGCATCTGTCAGAGAATGCCAAAACTTAGAAGATTTGGAATCTGATCCGTTTATTTTCCTGTTGTAAGCTGGCATGGAAAACTGACTCTATTAAGCATTTGAGCCTCTGCTAATGAAACTCCTGGATCAGAATTTTAAAAATAATTTAAAACAAAAAAACAATGATTACTTAAGCCTTATAACTTCAGGCATTGCTAGCTCCAATTATTTTTCCTTTATTAGAGTGAATTGTATTCCTATTACCTTTACAATTCCCTCATTACGAAGGCAGAAGGAAGCTAATGTCATGCCAATCAGCAGTCGTCCTAGCCAAACTCGTAGGTAACAAAACAAAACTAGCGTCTGGTGGTGGTGGTGGTTTCTCTTGCCCCTACATTAATCCTTCCCTTCTCCTACTGTGTAAAGGGGCAACAAGTCACAAGCTGTCTGGTTTGCCATCTGCAATTAATGGCACTGAACAGTTCTCTGATTTTGGCCACATCTGGTAGATTTGAGACAGGACCAGTTCCTGATTCAAAAGCCAGAAGAATTTGGCAAAAGACACCTGTTCCTCATTGTTTACTCCTACTTCTTTATAAGCTACCAGATGCATGTGTTACAGATCTAGAAGATGTCTGAGGTCAGGATTGACAACTTATTGCCCTGGTTCGTTCATCATGCAATTAACGCCTTGTTTTACTGTGGGGTGACATGGAGAGCTCAACAACTACCTCTAAGCTTCTCCTTGCTACTGTACTTGTTGACTGCAAACTGATCTTCTCGGGAGCAGAAGAAAGGCTGACTGACAGCCTCGTACTGCAAGAAGGGACAGCTGGGGCAATGCCTTGCCAAGGGGATGAGCTCCATTATCTGTGGCAAGGAACTCTCCTCCAGAACATCAACTCACAGTTCTCTGGGTGCAACTGGTAAGACAGCTGTCCAGGTCTAACTTTGAGGTGCCCAGACTCACACTCTGAAAGCCAAATCATGGTGGTAAGCATTCTGGTTCAGTATCCACCAAGTCCTCTGTTATCCTAGAAAGGCTGTTGTCTTCTGAGCAACTGCTACTAAGGAAGGAGGAGTGCACATAATACATTACTGATTGCTAATGCTTAGGTATTGGCACGCTTTGGCTTGAAAACAAATTTCAAGGAATTACCCGAGTGTGATGTAACTCCGTTAGAGAAGTGCCAGTAGGTGTGTATTACTGTTTCACCCACCCAAATTGCACACCTGTTACAGAACCCCTGTAGCATGGGGTATAAAACTACTCTTTGCCAATATGCCGAAGCACCGATAACTGCGCTCAAATGAAGCAGCATGTGTTTTGCTGTTGCTGCTCAGCCAACGATTCTAAGCTGTCTGATTCCTGACAGCAGGAAATGCTACTTGGACTGCATGACAAATCCGTCTGGTAGAGCAAAGCAGAAAGCAGAGTTAGGCAGTTGGGTCACTGCCATCTGTCACATTCAGACCATTTCTATTGGAAGCTGGAGCTCAGCAGGCTTATGATCTCCATTTTGTGGGTGTATCAGAGATGGTTCAGTGGAAGAAAGCTAATGAAAAGTTCTCTGTGCAAAACACAGGACATTACCCACAGCGAAGTGGCTTCTGATCGCTGAGCAAGCGCTCCAATTCCAGAAGAAATAATGGCTGACATGGCCATAGTTCCATGGTTGAGACCACATGTCTCTGAGACACAGAAAACTGAGGTGCACGCAAAGAGGGAAGAGGTACGCCTATGGTTACATTTCAGGGAAGAAAGTAGGGCCCTTTTAATTTCCTGCAAAGATCTGAGACTTGGCACTTCAGAGAATCCTGGCCTCAAAGTCTCATCCAAGGAACCTCAAGTTCTCTGCTAATCTGAATGGTGGCGTTTACAGCATAGTGCTATAAACTTCAATTTAGGTTGATCTTCTTGTGCTTCTCTCATGGATGAAATGGAACCCATGAGTCTAAGAATTTGCTTTGATGGGCTTTTAAGTTTTCCAAGACAGGTAATTGGTTCTTCTTTGCTTTCTACGCATACTGGTGAAGTGTGAGCAACAGAACTGGAAGGCTCTTCTGTAGCTGGAGAAACAAAGCTCTAGCCTTCTAGCAGGTTGAAGACGTTAATCAATTCACATCTTAAAGCCAGAGAACCTGTGAAATCCTCAGGTCTGATCTGACATACCAGCAGCTAGAGAACTTTGCCCTGGTATTCTATTTTAGCTTTATGGAAGTTATATAGTGCATCTGGCTCCAGCTTGAAGTTGTTGATCTTTTTCTGCCTTCCTCCACTAGCACCTGGGAGCTCTGATCTGCAGAGCTGACTGTCAGGCAGGGAGCTCAACAGATACAACCTCCCTTTAGGAACTCACTTGCACTGAATTTTCATGCATCTCCCCACTTTCCTATAGGATTCAAGAGTAAGGAATCTGGCATGCTGAATCCAAACAGCCATCAGCCTCTAAAATACCAAGGTAGCCTTAGCTATGGTAAGTGGAACGCTAAAGAGGAGCGATGACTAGATATTGAAAATTATTTGAGAACATTCCTATCTTGGCACCTCTATGTTGTCCTGCAATTTATTATTCAGGTGGCTAACTTAGGATTTAAAATGTGGGCTATCCCTGCCTGAGCATTAAGAGGAGAATTTCCTGAAGCATTAATTGCACAGATTAGCTTGAAACCAAAGGCATGAAAATTGTATGATGACAATCTGCTGCTACTCAGCAGCTAATTATTTGGGTTCCCTAGGCAGTGCTCGTCTCTGATACTCACCTCACATGCTAGACTTTGGGAAAAAAAAAGTGCAGAAATGTTTTAAACTAGACTTTCACAGCACATCTAGACTCCAGCAGTGGGCATTGCAGTACAGCACCTTTGATTTCAGTGCCACGAGTTCATAACTCATGAAAAGCTGAGCAAAATAATGGACTGCAGAAAGCCATCTCTCTCAAGTGAAATGAGAAAGGCTTAGACTGGTGTCAGGCTGCTCTGTCAGTGCACAGAGCAGGCTGAAGTCTCCAGGAAAACCACAGGGGTGGGTAGAAAATGCAGGTCACATGAGGTTTTATTAGATAATGTATGAATAACTAAATAAATGGGACCAAGTTCACGCAAACACTAGCAATGAATCTATACAGCCCACTTTAGCACAGAGCTACATTACGATCTCAATTCTGTGGGTGTATTGGAGATGATTCAGAGTAATCAGAGGTTTCAAAAGGTATTTATGCACCCAATTTCTGTCCAGTGCTCACTCCGTAAATTCCACTGTTCATTATGCTTTTAATGCTAAGTGCCACTCCATAAACACTGTCCTTCCAAAACCTTCTTCAGGAATGTCTCAGAATTACTGAGTCGCACTGAAGTTCTTTTGATCCTGTGAGATGAACACATCTCAGATGGGAATAAAAGTATTAATTATAAATCCTGAAAATCATTTAAGATACTTAGAATCATAGAATTGTTTAGGTTGGAAGGGACCTTAAAGATCATCTAGTTCCAACAGCCCTGCCATGGGCAGGGACACCTTCCACTAGATCAGGTTGCTCAAAGCTTCATCCAACCTGGTCTTGAACACCTCCAGGGATGGGGCATCTATAACTTCTCTGGGCAACCTGTTTCAGTGTCTCACCATCCTCAGGGTGAATAATGTCTTCCTTATATCTAATCTAAATCTACCCTCTTTGAGGAAAAAAAATAAAGGAAGGCACTATATAAAGGAGCCCAATCTCAAAAAATAGTACTGGGCAAGTATGTTTGTTCCATGTTATGCCATTACACTGCAGGGTGACTATGGGTGAGCCCTGCTCCTTTGTTTCCCTTGCTGTAAAAGAGAATAAGCGATTTGAACTTCTGTAGGAAAGTGTTGTGGACCCACTGGCAAAGAGCACTAAGTAGCAGCAGTATTTCAAAGCTTTCCAGAGTTGTGCAGTGCTGCAGCTGTGGATGGAAATGGATCTGTGAATCAGAAGCAGATGAAGCCACAAGCACAGAGTAACTGAAACCAATCCCCAAGTTCTGGCTTCACACATGGTACATCTAACACGCCTGCCACAGAAACAACAAAATATTTGCTACCTTGTTCTCAACAACACTTCTGAGAATACTAGAACGTGAACAGTTCCAAATGACCAGGATGTACCACTATGCTACTTTCCCCCATGGAAGCAGTTCCTTTCTGGGTAGAGCAATCATGACAATGTTTACATTCGTGCCAGCTACTGTGTGATGTACAGATGAATATATATCAAATCTGTCACAAAAAGTAAGAACTGCCCTTCTGGAACGAGAGAATAAAACCCAGATGCATTTCCAGCAGCACGTTTGGCTACATGTTCTGTTTTCAAAGCTGTTGTCTCACCAACTGTTACTCACCAGTCAGGTTCAATCTGCATCAGAAAAAGGACTACTCAAACTAGGACAAGACCTCGTTTACTCTAGCGAAAACAGAGGATCTGGCAGGTTTCAAGTCAAGAAGCAAAGTACTACATAGTCACCAAGAGGGAAACCCCTGGAGAGAGCAAATAATGCAGGCACCTAACACAACACGATTTATTTCTGGTGATCAGTGGCAGCCTAATGAAGTGGATAAACAGCACTTTAAAATAAAAGAAAAAAAAAAACAAAACAAAAGCACTTCCAAAAACCAGCTTCATAGCATGTTTGCTAGGTTTCTTCCTGTGTGTTTTATTACTCAGAGCATGGGCTCCTATCCACTTTTTTTTCTTTTGATTCCACAGTGCAGGGGAAATGATGGATTAATTACCTCTGTTTTACCTTACAAACCTCCTAAGGAAGGTTCTAAAGGGCAGAATGTGGAGAAGAGGTCTAGGACAGGAAAAGTGGCCAACAGCCTTAATAAATACTTTTTTTCTCCTCCTATTTAAAACATTATCAGGTGGCATTTTCAATTTGCAAGTGGTGTTTTCTATTTGAAATAAAAAGAAACCCTACTTAATGGCCACTGCTACGGGGAAAAAAAAGTAGCAAATTGATTCCTTAAGGGAAATTAAGTGCACATGGATTAAAATATTATAAACCCCTTCCACTAACATTTCATCACAAGTTTATTTTTTTTTCTGAAAAATGAGCATTTAGCTACCACTGCTCTTACAACTGGAAGCATATAATTCTAGTTCTTGATGTATGGCAAGGATTGTTTGGTCCACATGTGAAAGAATGATAGCAGTTTTCCTTGCCTCATAGGCTAAATCAGTTTTTTAAGGTCTTTGCCACTTCATAGAAGTCTGCCACCGAGCACAAGACAGATTTGAAACAGCAATACAGGCAAAAACTGAGCTGCTCATCAGCAAAGTTGACTTTCCTCTTGGCACAGAGTCATAGCATAGGTTCTACCACAACACAATCAAAGAGAATACACTTAGGCTTTAAAAATAATTCCTAACATCAGCATCAGCAGCCTTTTCTTCATCTTCCTGAATCTTGAAAAGCAGTGAAAAAAGAAAAGAAAAAAAGATACATATCAGAATGGATAGTGCGATCTGGGGGAGGAAAACCTTATTTCTGTAGAAATGGTCATCTCAGAACAAAGAACAAAAACTAAGATATTTATACTCATGGACACATCTGAGTATTCCAACAAAGCATGGGTGCAGAACTCTTATTTGCATTTCTGCAGTACATTAGACATAGGACATTTTAGTGCCAAAGGTACTGTCCCACATTTGTACGCCACGTAAAATGATTCGATGCCAACAGTTCTCAGACCTATCTGTCTTCACAGCTGTGAAGCCACCAGCCGTGCCCACATCCAGCCCACATAATCACAGTATGCAACCTTTTATTTCCTTCTTCATGCAATTCTGTGCTTCAAAACATTCACTCCTGTAATCTTATGACAAATCTAGTTGAAAAGTCTTCAAGCATGGCTGTCCCCTCACACATATTACAGTGCCAGGTGTCACGGGGCTCTCCTTATGACTGCAGTCTTCAAGGATCAGTATGATGCAAATAACCTAGTAACAGTGCATAGGAATGAGTAATACCCAGTCTCTTAGCGGTCTTACCTCTTTACCACCCATGGCTTCAAACATCTTCTCTAGCTGCACCCTCAGTTGTTGGATGTTATTCATCAGGATGCAGGGCTGAAGGGACAAAAGCAAGTGCCTGTTACCACTCACGATGCCAACACATTTTCATCAGTGGTACATTCTGTGCCTCAGCACCCTTCCACCATATCTGAGAGTCAAATAGGAGGTAGAGCATGCACAGATTTCAGCTCTCAAACATAAAAAAGACAATGCATTTTTTATTCAGCTTGAAAAGGGATGACCAGTTCCAGAAACCCCAGATTAGGAGATCTCTGCTGTTGCATTTTCCTCCTCAGTTTTATCACAGAGAACGAGCTGACAAGACACTACTGTCAAGACAAGGCTCAACTCTCTGCAGCATGTGCCATGCCCTGCAAGAGACCAAGCTGTGTCACCTTCAGCCTCTTACTGCTGCAATGTACTGTGGTGAATGATGTACATCCCAGACCAGAAGGGGAAATGGCAGCCAAAGCTGCATTCAAAGACACATCTGGGTCCTGCCAGGCCAAGTCTGAGAGCAACAGCCAAGGACTGCCTGAGCAACAAACTCTTCCCTCTGCAGTTATATCCTCAATAGGAGATAGCAAAACCAGCATGGGACAGACCCAGGGTTCAAAAATGTAAGATCTTGTTTCATTAAATACACAGAATTGTACCTAATTCGGGATTAAACAGCAAGATAATCAGGTGGAGACGACAGTAAACAAAGAGTGCTGCTGAGTACCAAATCAACAGAGCACCTTGTGCCTATGTTTTAGTTTGGTTTTTTTTAATCACCTTTGTGACACACAACCCAGACAGGCAGAATGGATGTTAATTTCAAGGGGACCTGATAGCCTTCAAGCCCTGCAGACTACCCTTAGGACTCTGTTTTATTTTATGGCCAGGACAGAATTAAATCCACAAAAGCATAGGAATGATGACAAAAAACAATACTGAAAATATTTACACCATCACCACAGTCAGGTGCAATGCAAGACATTTGTTTTTATCAGGACAATTATGTGATTCCTCAGAGCAGAACAGAAACCCAGCATGACTCACCAGTTTCTCCTTGGAACAATAGGACTGGAAGCTCTTGGAGAGGATGTCGGCATACTGCATCAGCACTTTACCAATCGTCTGCGAAGACAAGATGTGAGCACTGTTAGTTGTCGTCTATCACTGCAAGAGAACTCCGGGAAATAAAACTAAAAAAAAACCATACTGTTTTGCATCCCACTAAGGGAAGACAAACAGTTGGATGTTGAGAGTATTACCTTAGCAAACCTCCTATTATAATGAGCAACAATGACAGGGTCTGGGCACTCCAGCTTCTTAATGATCTCAAAGCTCTGATTGAGCTGGGTGAAGACATCCACCACTGAGCAAGAGAACAGAGCATGCTCGGATGTTTGCTGGAACTAAAACAGAAGTACAAAGAGTCATTCTCAAATGGAAAGATCTGAAATACACCCCTTTCACAGGTGTCTCCGTTATCCGCTGTCAGGCAGGACAACTTTACCTAAACGTACACCTTCCTCAGAATTAGTCAAAAGCTCACCAAAAGGCACAGAGGAGCTAAATAGCCAATTCTGTTGGGTTTTAGGCTTACTGTACTTCATCAGCTATGACATGACAAGCACCAAGAAAACGCAGCATGATGCTGAGACCGTTAATGAAACACACAGCTTGCGTGTCAGTAAATGAGGAATAGAGAGTGAAGAACTTTTTTCAGATTTTCTTAAAATTTAGATACTGAAGCGAATGATAATGTTAGTATCACAGGCTACTGCGCCAACAGCCACTGAAAAAATGGGAAGGCTCTTGCTCTCCATCAGGAATACTCAGCAAATTGAGAATAAGATTACTCAGTGGATTAAGGTCACATTCTAACTGCATGACTAAGGACATGCAAAGTGCCTGATATTTCAATTACCTCTACAAACACAGACAGATGAGAGAGCACAAAGCCACTGGTTGACAGATCAACAGCAGCAGAACAGAACAGGCAAACAAATGATGTGCACCTTGCTATTAAATAACTCTGTGACCTGTAGGACAAAAGTCCTACAATAAATGAGTTTCTCAGTTGTTTAGCAAGCAAAAAGGGTTGCATTCTGCATTTGTACGACAGTTGAATCTACAGTGGTGGTGTTTGGTTCTGGGCACTGAAGGATGCAGCACCAAGTCCTCCACTCAGAGCGACCTACATACCCCATCTTTTTTATCTCTCTCCAGAGCACCATGCAGGAATTCTAATGAAACATCTTCATTTTCATCCAGCCACTGCATCACAAACTGCTCAAACCACCTGCAGGAGAGACAGGAAAGATAGCAAGTTACCGCAAGAAACAGAGCACCCCAACGAGACTCAGACAGTGCTGCTGTTGCAGCAAGCCTTGTGAAAGCTTGTCACTGTTAGACTTCTGAATGCTGTTATCCGTGTGTGCAGCTAAAGTTCCCCAAAATGCTCTTACTTTTACATCAAGTAAGCTACCAGTGAGCAGGGCCTGTAGCACCACTCAGGCTGGACCAGCAGAACACAGCCCAGCCCAGCCTCTGCAGACTGTTAGTCTTGCACAGGTTTTGTCCTTCTACCCTGTCTTTCCTCTTCCTTTGTATCCTCTTCTTTTTTTTCCCCCCTTGAGCACCTTTTATAACTTTGCATCATCTCAGAGCACTTTGCCTTTTCTTCCCCTGCCAGATAGGACAAGGGAGACCTCCAAATCCACTATCTCTGCACACTAAGAGAGGTGGCACACGGTCCTGCTGCTCAATTGGGTCTAACATCTTTCATGTGAGCGCTGCAAATGAATATAAAGGGAGGAAAGGAAGTGCCTGTTTTCCAGGGCCCTTCAGCCACTTTCTCTGCAGATATAGACATCTGGAGTGCCAGGAGGGAGAATAAGGGCTAGACATTTTCTCGACTTTAATCCTGCTCTCCCTTTCTCCAAGCCTTCTCCAGAACACCCTCCCATTCCTTTGGACTGCTGACCTCACTGTGAAGATGCTTGAGTAAGATTAACTCCTGGTGACAGCACTGCGCATCTGCTAGGGCTTGCAGGAAGCTAGCCAGCCTTGTAAGCGGTTCTTCACTGTTTTCTTTCAAAGACGCACAAGCTTAGTTCACGTTAAGTGCTGGACCAACACCCCTGGAGCATGGTCAAGTCCCCAGAACAGGCAGATCCTAGAAGCAGGACAGCAAAGCGTGTCTCTCTTCCCTTCCCTCACTTAGGAGGGTAAGCTAAATGGTAGGGCAGAACCCAATAAGATACTGAAACAGCCACTGCTGTATCTCAGGAAGATGCTTTATGTGAGGAGCTACCTCCAGCACTAAACAAAAGGCTTCTACGCAACCCCACCTTGGCCAAATAAGGAAGCTGAAAAGTGGTTTCAGTGATGATCCTACAGCTGGTCATCCCTCTGTTCTCTGCTCTGTGGGGCATATCCACACAGTACAGAAGAGAGAGGGGTTTTTTGTCTGTGTTTAAGCAACAACATAGCACTTAGGCCTTTATTTAAATGTCCGTCTACGATTTATTGCGTGCAAGTGCCAGCATAAAACAGCTGAAACAATCTTAATTTCAAATATAACTAAACAGTATTCACAAATAAGGGAAAAAAGTGCCCACGTGTAATTTCAGTCCATGCAAAAGATTATTGTATGAGCTTCACAGAGTACAGCCTCCTCTAAACCAGCAGCTGTGTTCATAGAGATTGTGCTAATTATGGGCTGAGTTTGCAAAGAACATGAAAGCATGTGCCAGACATGAGAGGGAGATCAAGAAAAAATTCACAGAGAGAGCATACTAGATAGCCTTAAATACTCTCTACACTTTGAAATATGAAGCACATCAATGCTAATATTGGAAATTGTAACTGACACAGTGTTAAATGCCAACAGCAACCTCTCTGTGCAGCCCTATTTAAAATAGACAGCAGCGGTGGAACATTGTCACAGACATATGGACTTCTTGCGTTCTGGAAAAATTCCTTCCGAATGGCACTTCAGGATCCTAAAAGTCAGCATACTTCAGTTTGCTGTAAGCTTGTTGAGCTTTCAACATTTGTTTTAAATTACAATGGCATATTTCAAAGCTGCGGCTCAGTCCTTAGACGATAACTCAGGCATTTTACAAGGAACCAGCTACACATCTTCCACATCTTTCAGAGCTTCCAGGCTGCAAGCTGCTGACTGCTTCACGTGGCATAGGTCAATGTACAGGAAGGATTACTTCTTTGTGCCAGAAGCCACAATTTTTGTTCTGAGAGGGGGAACTACTTTGTGATCATCATTCATCCTTGGTTATTGCACCATCCTCATAAGAAAGAGCCATTCACTATTGAGGACAGTCAATGCCCATTTTTACGGCTACCATATTTTGATTTACAACGTCAAGTTCATATGTATTTTACTGTCTTACCAAATTGTCTAAACAAAGGTAGTAAGGAAAAAGGTAATATTAGGAGGCATGGGGAGGGGAATTACCACCGCTTCCCATGCCCAAACGAAAAAACACACTACCTACAAAAAGAGGTTTACTATGCATGTTTAAGTGAATCACTTAGATTACATCAGGAAATTCTGTAACTATGTTTGCAAAGCCAGCCTTGACTTTGTCCTTTATTTGCTGGCAGGCAAACACAAGAGATCCAAATCATCTATAAATGCTTTCAATCCTTGGGTAGGTTCAAGACTAAAATGTTATTTGACCTGTAACACAAACCTAGAGTTATCTTAGGTCAAATAACCCTTACAGTGTTTTATTATCAGGTCTTGGGCTGCTGAGCAAGCAAGGGAGGACTCTGAGGTCTATGAAGGCAGCATATCCAAAATGATATTCAAAATTATCTGGCATAGAAATTAATAAAAATAATCTCTTTTCTTCATGCAGAAATAGCTTCAAAACGTTGCTATATGGCAAATATCTTCTTCCTCATCTGCTTCAATTATTGATCTAAAAGCAAACACCGTAATGACTCATGTGCCAGCAGCACACAAAGCAGAGGCTCACAGTGCTCCTTCAGAGACATTCTGTGCTTGCCAGGGTCAGCACAGCCTGACTCAAGGCGGCACAGTCAACCTCTCCAGATGAGGTTTGCACAGAATACGCCTCGGTCCTGTCTGCCAGGAAAGGCAGCGGTGCTTTGTGACTAAATGAAAGTTTACCTCTGTTGGTTGCACAACAGTAATGTAGTACAAAAGGCTGCAATTTCAGCTTGGCCATGAGCCTGGCTCCTGTGGCCTCAGACTTTACAGGTGAATTAATCTTGTTCATTTGCTGTGCTGACACATGCGTGCACCCAATGAACATCCTGTGGGCCTTGTCAAGTGCAGCAGCAAGAAGGCAGGCAGGGTTTCAAAGAGTAAAAGAATAAACACTATGTTTGATGAAGTGAGCCAGAAGAATGAGACAGGATTTCAAAGGAAGTAATGCTTTCTCCCCATCGGAGAGGAGGTAATCTCCAGTGCAGCTACAATACTAGTTGCATGCTGACATCAGTATTAAGACAAAACATAGAACACTTCTTTACGCTTCTAAAAAGCCAGGGAAACTGGCACTTCACAGCTTTCAGCTGGTAGCTAAAAAGTGAAGAGAGAAAGCTTTGAGGATCCACTCCCAGCTATGTTGCTACTTCAGTTTCAGAAACTGCTTGCTGCATTCCAGAAAATAAGGGGAACATAAAAACTTCAGCTTCAATACTTTAGAGCCTTCACTTCATTCCATAACATCTCAAGGCTATCAGAAACGTGGTTTCTCATAGTTTCAACACAAAAAGCGAGTTGGGGATAGCCTCTTGTCTGTTGAGTAGACGGACAACTCAGCTGTTCTCCAGACAGCAACAATTTAGTTTCATCTAGAGTTTACTGATGTGCAAACCTGATGCTTCCTTTGTTTCAGGAAGCTTCAAGACTAAAAATACTTGCGATGAAGCAAATCAAAGGACAAGAGCACATTGCTGTAATTGATACCAAGGGGATATTTCGTGACAGGTGAAGGTTATGATTGAAATAAACATCACCTGAGTGTCTGACAATGTGGCTATTGTACTAAAATACAAGAGTGGAGTAACAAAGCCAGTGGCTGCAAATGTACATGAGCACTGAAGCTCTACCACAAAGGCCAGCAGAGCAGAACAGTCTGCAAAAGACTGCAAAATGAAACTGAGCATCATTATCCTGATTACACAGGAGAAAAAGAGAGATTAAGAATATCTGATGGCTTGCCTGAGACTGCACTGACTCAGAGGCACAGCAAAGCGAAGAGGGCTTCTGAGACTGTCATTCCAGCACCCTGTTCACTGAGTTAATGCCTCTCACTGACCTGATTTGTTAAGCAAGGCCCATAGCCCAAGCAGAGCAATTACACCAACTGCCTCAAGTCTTATTAGTATGCAGCTAGCATCAGGCTTGAGGGACTGTGTGCACCGCAGGATGGGAAGGGAATTCAAAACGCCAAACTGGAAACACAGTCCAAGCAAGATGTTTTTTTTCAGGAGGGGCAAGTACAACGTGCTGCATTTAGACAGCAGTGAGCAGTCATACACAGGACGGGAAGAACAGTTAGGACACTCTCTTGAGGGTGCCTGGGGGCTGGTTTGTGGCCCACTGGAAGCACCACTAGTCAACAACACCACTGAAGGTAAAAACCAAACCATGGCTGCTAACATCACAGCCTATGAGAGCAGCAGTACTGCCTGCCTGTAAGGCAATGCAAGGCAAGGTCTAGATGAAACATCAGTATTTAAGTCTGGGTGTTGTATGTCCAGACACAGACCAGCTGAAAAGAGGTGGGCAAACCTCACTTAACAAAGAAAGCTGGGAACAAACAGGAACCAGTGGCAGACTGGGAAGGGACATGAGAAAAGCATTTTGTTCTTATTTTACGATTCGTTCTTCATACCCAGGCTGGTAGGACAGGATGTAACAAGTTCGGATCGAAGCAAGAAAGACTTGTAGGGGGAGAAGGGGAGTGTGTTAAACCCAGTGGAGGGGTAACAGTGAAGCACAGGGGAAAAAAGCTGCTTGAAGGAGATGTGGGGCAATCATCGCTGAAAGCATCTGAAAACCAGTTAAACACTGGTCAGAAACAACACACCTGCTCCGTCTTAAGCCACGTGTGGGACTCCAGCTAGCGTTTTCTCCAGACAACTTTTTAGGCTCATAAACTTTCTTCAGGTCTAAAAACTACTCCTGCTCTTTTAAAGTTAAGTAAAAGTTGCGAACAATTGCTCAGAGCATAAAAGCGACTGCTTATCTAATATTTCCAACTAAACCACCTGGTCTTACTAAAAGAAGAAAACATTATCTTTACTTACAAATCGTGTTGTATGTGTATACACGTGACATTCATACACACATAAACAGACACAGATACAGTAAATACAGATAAAGCTGTATCATGTATGCTTACAAAGAATGTAAGTATATATCTAGAAGTCTTCTGTTCAAGAACTGACCAAAGCCCACACTGCAGGCACAAAGTGGCTTAAAGACTGTCCATACCATTGCTACAGCTTTTGAGATCTTGGGAGATACTGTACAATAAGAGATTGAACTGGGTCCAGGACAGTGGCACAGAACACCAGAGGGGACAAACATACACATAAACGGAGAAAATCACGAATGAAGAAATAGTGAATCACGAAGGCAGTCACAGGAGAACCAAACAACTATTCTCAAGATAACACGAAGAGATGCACAGCGGCAATTTCCTACAGGAGGCATAACACACTCACGTTGGGTATTCAGGCCCTCTTTCCTTGAAGGCAGGCAGATCACGAACATATTCATTGTACAGCCACTTCACTTTGAAGTGTAAATTCATATAGTCTGCACTTTTACACAGTCTGTGTTTCTCATGCTCTGTAAGGAAGGAAAAAAAGTAGTTAGGTCTGAATTTACCACTATCATTGCGTCAGGCACAGGAGGGTTTTTATAAAGCTTGTCCACAGCATGCAATGGTTTTGAGGATGAAGCACCTATAGAACCATGAAATCTTCAAGACATAGGATTTTGGCAGCAGGCAGGGGTTCTCGGTGGTTGACTGTTGGAGTTCTGGAGTTTATTTTTGTAGTTCCAAAAATACTTGCATTTGTTAAAGACTTTTTGGTTGTCAAAACAATGAAAATTGTGCAATCTCTTATGGCCTTTCATTTAACATATGACAGTCCAGATTTCATCTTTGCAGGAAACAAACCAAGGAGAACTAATCTGTTTGTTCTGGGATATAAACAAAGGCAATATCAACACATTACACTACATCCTCTAGGTGACAAGAGTAGAAAGAATCAAGTTCTCTAGAGTTTGACAGTGTGAGTCACAAGCAAGGTCAAATGAGCTCCAGCCAGGAGCTGGAGCATTCCCTGATGCCCAGTTTGAAGAAATTCATGACGCTTCTCTTTCAGAAGGCAACGGTTTACTTATTTGTATTGCCTTCCTGAGCACAGTCCACTGAAGCAAGTCATGGATATCTACCTGTAGCTGAGTCTCTTCCTCCTACCAAGCTTCACTGTTTCCACACCCAGGCTGTCAAGACAACGCAGTTCCTCCCTGTGCAACACACATATCTCCAAAATATGACCCTTTCCTCTCACCTATGCTGCTAAAGCACTTGCTACATGCAGACCTACATTTCTGCAGAGATCACCTCCATCAACCACCACTCCTCTTTCTCTCTCACGAGAAATACATGCTCTGTGTCTTCGCTCTCAAGGCCCTTTGCAGCCTACGTCCACACTACCATGTTTCAGCAGTTGACTCCCCACCTCTGATCAGTCCACGATCCCTGTTTTTAAACTACTTGTTAAGTTCTCCCAAAAGGATCTCAATGCTTTCTCCCAAGCCATCCCTCATGCGCTTACACAGGCAGCTCCTTCTACTGCACTGCTTTTCTTCAAAATCCTCCTTGAAAGGCATAAAATTAATTCCTTTTTCATGATGTCAAGAGGACTCAGCAGCCGCCTGCACTGCAATCCTGAATTATCATCTGAGCAATTCTGCACCGACACTCCCTATTGCTGCCCGTCCATATCCATCTCTTTCTTCTGTCAAGCTTCAACAGCATGAACACGCTTTGTGCCAGGCTTCTTTGGTCACTCTAGCACCACAACAAGCTGCTAGCCCATGACTACAGTGTGAGACATGAGACTAAAACACATAATTTTGGCTTAGACTCAGGTTGTTGTTTTTGTTTTTGTTTTTTTTTTCCAATATTTGACTTTAGACTCCTCTTTCTACTTTTTATGTGATTATCTCATTATTGATGTAACTTTCCAAGGGCATCACTGCTGATGTGTAGACAGGATTCAGGAAAGTGGAAGTCTTTCTCTTAACTTTGAATGGCTTTAACTTAGGACTCTGGTACAAGCATCCAGCAACTCCTGGGTAGATATACGCACACACGAGCAATGAGCAATACACGCTACAGTTATTCATCAGAGAAAATATTCCCTAATGATACAAAATGGCCCCAGATTTCTAATCAGTTACCTCACAGACAAGCTTATCTTACAATATCATCATCTATTTTCATGTAAATGTGAATTCTTCCAACTATTTCAAAACATTAAGAAACTTCCACATCTCTCTTAAAGCTTCAACAACGTGCACAAGAAGAAAGGCCAAATAAATTATGAATTATCCAACTGAAAATACAGAAATCAAAGAACCTCTCATGCATAATTATTCCATAAGCCTTGTTAATTCCCAAGCAGTGGAACACTCCAGTGAGTTGTTTGCAAACCAGTGTAATACAGATTCCTTCTAATTCACATGTAGCAGATCCGCACAGATACAATCTCAAAAAAAAAGAACCCCAACCTTTGGTTTAAAGAAACTAAAATGCCTAATATCTGAGAGACATAGTCCCCTGGGGTGATGGTTTGATGGACAAATTACTTTACATGTGCTACTATTTCATCTGTACTATGATGCATTACTCTTGACAGTGAATTTGCTTGTGTTGGAGCCAAGGAAAGTCCATTCATGTTTTACATTAATAAATCTAGTACCTTTCTTGAGTGCTAAGGAATTTATGAGTATACTCAGTGTCTGAACTGCTGACCTCCCACAAGAACAACTGCAGAAGAAAATGCAAAGTGCTCTCTGCACATCTAAAACTGGAAACAAACATAGTAGTAACCATGCCCACTCAGGTCCCTGTGCGAGTGAGGAAATCAAAGGACAATTATAACTTCAATAACTTTGATACACGCTGCCACCCAGGTGCTGTTCCTGCATAGGAAAGCAGAGGGAAGCTCCGACCTGGAGGTAAAAAAGGACTCAGATTTATTTCCTCAAAATTAAGCAATGCACTAAAACCAAGTAATTCAAGCCTTTTCCTGGTTTTTAGGACATTTAAAACACTATTCAGTTGCAGAAGAGGAATATGCAAAGCAGGCACAGAACTATAAGCTAAAGGACTGCTTCTAGGACTATCTAGCCATCTAAGCAGCAAAGGAGAGGCTCGATACCAAGGGGATAAAAATACAGGAAAGTAAAATAAAGAAGAGGTCTTACCACCATAAAAGAGAACTTTACGTATGCGAAAGAAAGGTGGGGCTTGTGACAGAGAAAAGACAAAAGTGAACCACAACAGCTCAAACACGCTGGAGGACAAAGAAAGCTAACGAAGCCCCAGAACCCCCTCATCCCCAACAGCTTCTACCATCTGCCTCCCCCCTTCAATGGGCCCTGCACAGTTTTGATCAGCTGCTTTCTTTGTAAAGAGAAATGTTTAAGAGCACTTGAAGGTGACATGGAAACACATCGGCCAGAGGTATACTTTGAAAACCCATTTTAGAAAAAGTAAAGTGAAAAGCACGGGAGCCAACAGCCTTAGCACATTTCTGTTCTGCTTTATAACCTGCTGGCTTTTAAAGAGCTTAGCGGCAGCAACAGAGGAAGAGTGCACAGATCTTCTGCAGCAACTGCTGTGTTTTATCCTGAAAAGACTGCAGAGTTCTTTAAATCTCTCACATTTCCTCAGCAGATTTCATCTGCAAACAGCCTCCTCCGGAGAAGAGCTTTTAGGGTCACCGAGGCCATATTATTAAGGCATTAATAGGGAACTGCTTCCTAGCAGCACACTTTGTAGTGTCATGTCCAGTTCTATTTTTCAGGCAGAGAACAGGACTTCCACCACATCCTTAATCCATGGATTTTTTTCTTGATCATCAGCCTACTTTTCCTGCATTAATTTCTGGCAAATAATGCTGAACTTCTGCAAAGAAACTCTAACAGGTAGTGAAGCTGTTGAAGCATTAACAGTTTAGACAGCTGGCATCTGCATGCGCAGCTATCCCCCTCCCCTTACTGGAAGTGAGAATGTGGCACAATGATCTACCTCAATCCTGTCCCCCAGTCTACTCAGTCTCTCTTCCTATTAAAGATGCTTCCAATTTACAACTGTCCTAATGCCAATGTGTCCAAAATGAGATGAACCATTGCTGCCAATTGACATTGATTTTCTGTTATTGTCTCTTAACGTCTTCCTAGTAAAGGAAGAGCAGAAGCCCTCTTTCCTCAGAGAGTTTGTACTTTCTGGATCACAGAGGTTTCACAGAAGACAGCAAGAAAATTAGTAACTCCAGTTACCAATGGGCTGACAAGGAGGTTATCCAGCTGTGGAGCACTGGTCAGCATCCCAGAGGTGGAGCTAACTGTATGACTTGGAAAAATCACTTTCTATGCTCCAGGGTAGCCTGATCTTGCCAGCCAAGTTTGGGACACATGACATGTCTGTCCAATCTGTTTTACTCTTAGTTAAGAGTGAGTATAAAGGAGGGCTATGAAGATGATCCAAGGGCTGGAGCACCTCTCCTATGAAGGCAGGCTGAGAGAGTTGGGGCTGTTCAATCTGGAGAAGAGAAGGCTCCGGGGAGACTTCTTCCAGTACTTAAAGGAGGCCTAAAGAAAGCTGGAGAGGAACTTTTGACAAGGGCATGTAGTGACAGGACAAGGGGTAATGGCTTTAAACTGAAAGAGGGGAGATTTAGATTACATACAAGGAAGAAATTTTTTTACTCTGAGGGTGGTGAGGCACTGGAACAGGTTGCCCAGAGAAACTGTGGCTGCCCCATCCCTGGAAGTGTTCAAGGCCAGGTTGGATGAGGCTTTGAGCAACCTGGTGTAGTGGAAGGTGTCCCTGCCTGTGGCAGAGGGGTTGGAACTAGATGATCTTTAAGGTCCCTTCCAACCCAAACCATCCTATGATAAGGAACAAGGGATGCTTCTCAATGCCTCGTCCTGTACTGCCTTCGCCAGTGAGAAGGGAGGGCCAGGTCTGCTGTTCACGGTGCCCTGAGGGGCAATGCTTTGAGGGAGAGAGAAAATAAAACAAGCAGGGTAGAATCCTGAAGCTTCTGCTGTGTCTCAGCAGCTGAGTCTTCTTAGGAGAGATGAAGGCATAAGATAGGTCTGCAGTGCACTTGCTTTCCAGCAGTCAAACACACTGCTGTCATGACTATTATTGTAGTATAATGTATTTGATCATGAAAACAGGTGTGTCATTTTCATGACTTCATCATGTTCCAACACTGGAACAAGTTGCCCAGAGAAGTTGTGGATGTCCTACCCCTAGAAGTTTTCAAGGCCAGGTTGGATAAGGTTTTGAGCAACCTGATCTAGGGAAAGGTATGCCTCTCCATGACAGAGAGGTTGGAACTAGATGGTCTTTAAGGTCCCTTCCAACCCAAACCATTTGATGATTCTATGATTTTATGTATTAGCAATCTAACTCTTCAGAAGGTGCCCAAAAGGCACAGGCTCGCAAGCCTTCTGGTTCTGAAGCCCCTAAACACTGTCTTCTAGGTATAAATGAGTATTTATACATTGTCCTGCACAGGCTACACAGTGCACATGGGGGTAACATCCACCTGGCAGAGGCACGGTTAGCTGCCACCCATGGGGAAAAAGGAAAACAGACTCATGGCAGCCAGGCACTGCTTTCCAACTCAGAGAAGCCATCTCCCACCAGAGCTTGTCAACTCTCTGCCACACTGCATAATGGAGGGCAATGTGGAAGCATCAGGATGGAAGAAGGGAGGGGGCAGTTTCACACAGCCAGACCTGCACTCTTTCTACACCAAAGCCACTGCATGGCCTTCAGCCTAGAAGATAATCTAGTCCCACTGCAGAGCAAAAGGGCCAGAGACCATTAATTGTCGCCCCACCAGAAGGGAAGAAATAGAGCCACACATCAACTAGAGCTCTGACTTCACCAGTTATTCTCCATCAGACAGTATCTACAGCTTAATGGCTGAGATCTCGCAAAGGGGCTCTCACTCAGAACTGCTCAGTGTATCAGGTACTGCCAAACAACAACTGGAGTGACTGGTCAGAACAGGAATCTCCTAAGCAGCACATACCCTCCGTTTCTGCAGGAGCAGTATGGTCTTCCACATCTTCTTTGCAGATCTCCTCATCACTGGCATAAAACTACAGGGCACTATAACTACTACTAGCGACTACATCCAAAGTGCTGAAACTACAGGTAGCAGATAAAGTCCTTGCCTACTCACAACTATAAACTCAGTATACTAAGGAGCATAAACTTACCGTTTGGTGAGGTGAATGAGCTCATGTTATCCAGAACTTAGGAACAGAACACAAGGGAAAACACCATGAAGACAGTTAGGATCAAGTATTATACTCTAGATTCATGTGCTCGTATCTCCACAAATCAGATGAGCTTTTGTTTCAGAGAGCTCCTGATACATAGAGATCTTGGAGTACACCAGAAACGTACCTAGGGATTACTCCACAAACTGGCAAAGACTGGAACATGAAACTCTTGGTGTAGTCAAACTAGGGGAGAAATTAGCAACTCAAACTGAGAGATGACAGAGCCAAGAGCTGAGGACAGCAAATCTAATCATCACCCTTCATATCACTTAATCTGTTTCCTTTAATCCCTTTTTTCCTCTCATTTAAAAAAAAAAAATGCAACGAGCTAATCTAATCATCTGTGTTTAAAATACATGTAGTAAGGCCTGTAATTGAATTATTTTAAAGCTTGTTATAAAGGTTATCTTCGTAAGTTTCTGGAGAGCAAAGCAGTGAGGAATCACACTTGCCTGAAACAATCTTGCACCCTGGGGATTTCTTGAATACATACTTGGAAGAGACACACACCAACACAGACTCTATCATTGTTTAATGCTTCTGCAGGACTTGTACAGCTAAAGTACAAGTACATGTACCATGCAGCTTTTCTGCTTTCGTTCAAAACATAAGCCTTTCCCAGTCCATCAGCTGCCTTTGTGTCAACTTTCCTCACCAAGAAATACTTTGAAGAGGGATGTTCTTTCAGCAAGTATTTGCTGTGCACTGACGAACTCACAGGTGAAAAAATCATGCCAATCCTTGTCTTAAAATGCTCACAAGTCACCCAAATGATGTCAGGAAAAGCTAAAATAAGCCCAGATTCACCAGGGAGGACAGAGTCAGAAGGGACACGGTATGAGATGTAAACAGAGAAAACCTGGGAGGCTAAGTTAACTTGGACACTGGCCATCAAATAGAGCCATGCAAAAGAATGAAAAAAAAAAATATCAAAGTCAAGTCCCCTTTGACAGTCAAATTCCACACACGACCTTTCTGCAGGGAAAGGGAACCTTAGGAGAGTCAGCAACTAGACCTGGAGAGATCCAGTTCTCATGGCTGCCAGGAAAGGAGGAAGATACAGCACTTTCAAACTGTAGAAGAGCAAACTGCATTATAAATTCCTGAGGGTGAAGTGCACAGGGATAAATAAGGACAAACTGGAAAGCGGAGCCAAAATGGTTGCAGGAGAAAAGAGTTTCTAGGAAAAGTGAACACAAAGTTATCACAGTTGCCTTATCTCTGATGCTTGAGCAAGCAGATACAGTCACTATAAAAGTGACTCTTCAACCCAGTTAGGAGGTCATAGTCCTTCTTCCCAGTGTCTGTTCTTACATCAACACGACCTCACAAGACTGTGGTGTACAAGCATATCTAAAAAGTTCCTAACACAGAAGTGAGAACATTTCATCCAGACCTGCAGTCTGCTGAATTCAAGCCTAAAGCTGGCAAAGGGTATCGTCTCACAGCACAGTCTCTACCCCTGTTGTGTTGACAGAAACTAAGAAATAGATAGAGTCAATCTTCTTCACTCACAGAGCAACCCCACAGACTGTTCCTGGAGAACAAAATGCAGGAAACTCTCTTAGTGGCAGCAAGTTTTTTTTTCTAATAGTTTAAAGTAAGAGCCTAATAGGCAGTTGTACCTCTAAGTGAGCTTAGATCAAACTGGTGGCAAACAGATTGAGCATAATTGTGTGAGTGACCTAAAGCTGTAACTTGACTTGATTTTGGAACATGAATTCAACTAGCATGCCACAGGCAGCACTGGCACTTCTGCTTTATCACAATATCACCTTATAGATGATTGTAAAGCCTGACCCTGCAAAACACTGGGGAAAACAACTGCTACTGCAGCTGCAGAGCCAGTGGGAGCTGGATGCTCTCTGAAGCTTGTAAGGTGATCATATGGTGCAAATGAATTTATAGAACTAAAACCAAGTTCACAAACTGTAATCAACCATCAGAGGAGTACAAAGTAACAACTTTCTAGGAGTTTGCTGGCCTCTGCATGCCTAACTCATTTTCAGAAACAGCAAAATTTCTCCTTTACTAGGAGTCTGGTGGAGTTATGCAAAGATTAATTCCAAACGAAGATGTCTGCAGCTGGATTTGTTCTAACAGCATGCTTCTGCCAATGGCTTAGACCATCTACGCTGTATCATCCAGGGAACTGCAGCCATGGCACAACCCAGTGTCCACCTACTTCTCCGGCCATTTCTACCACTGCAGAAAGAAGCTGCTGCTGATCAAAGCCATCATATCCTCAGCCCAAAGCGAACTTCTGATTTCAAACTAGCTGGGATGACAACAGTCATTTTGCAACACAGCCTGACACACAGGTGGAGAGCTCATGCAGATCTCAGCCTCAATTCTCACCTGTAAAGCAGCTGCCTGCAAACAAAACAATAGAAATCCCTGCCCCAAATAGTGGTGCTACTAACGTGCATAAGCCTCATTTACACCAAATGGATGAAGAACAAGAGATCAGCAACGAGTCAGCTGGCATCAGTGAGGAATTCCCTTACCTTCCATGGCATATTTCATATCCTGGGCAAAAAGACTCCACATCACCTCCGCACTGATCTTCCCAACAGCAAGCTCCTGAGGAAACCTGAGGGGACATTTGGGAAAGGCTTTGGCACATGTCAGAGCAAAGGGTTCGTCTTTATTCAGCTCTGAGCTAAACTGCAAGCTGAAAAGCTCAACATTACAGATGCTTCCTTCACCCTAGATAAATGACCACGTGGAAACTGGAGATCATGGACTGGACACCGTGGCATAGATTAAATAAACGGAAAACAACACTACTGTTGAGACTGGTTTTAACTCAAAAAGCCAAGGTCTGGATGTCTCTCCTAGAAGAGACGCATTCTATAATTCTGGAAATGTGGTCTCAAAGCCCTTGCACCTTTTCCCCCTTTCTTGTTCTTTTTTTTTTTTTTTCTTTTTTCCTAGGGTTACTAGGCTAACAGGTGAGCACTAATCTGTTGTCCCTGCCATGTTAAATCAATGATTATTAGGGCACAATCCACCTCTTTGTGTATAATACCTTGTCAGACATCTCTCTCTCCTGCCCTGTGGGACTGTTGGAGGAGTATCCCCCAATTAAACAGACCGGTTTCAGTCTCCTTTCCAATGCTGTGCCAACCCCACCCAATGCAATCTCTCAGGTCTGCACTGAACACCACATTCCTAAATCATAGTGTAAGGTGTTGTCACCATGGCACCGCTGTGTGCATTAATGTGCATCCCAGAACTGCTCAACATCAGAAAAAACCAAAAGAACTCTCACCCTGTTTTCAGGTGCCTCCCTGAGTTCAGGATTGTAATAATCAGGGTGTTTGTGCTCGAACGCCATCGTAACTGAACCTTTTGAAACTCTTCCATCCCAATCAAAAAGAGTTATTTATATAGACAGAGACAGATAAGACAGAAAGACAGACAGACAAGATAAGTACTTCTATAAATACACAAGTGACAGAGAGATAGAAAGCAGTTTAACAAATAAAGCAGAGCACACAGAGACTAGCATTAGCCATACAAGACATGGAAGATTCTTACTGATTCAGGACTGGGGTGTAAGAATTCTTGTCCTCTTCTATGATAGAGACTATCAAAGTGATGAGCTTGGGCCAGAAATCCAGGTTCCTGATGCTGGGTCCCTGCTCCTCAGGAGGAAGGTCCTGATTTTTGTTCTGGAAAGGAAGCCATTGGAAAACCAGTGTAAATTTAAAGAGGAAAGAAAAAGCTGACAAATACAGACCACCACACAAACTCCAAATACTAACTACCTGTGGACCTTTTCTTCTGATGAGCTTAAAATTATTAACGGCTGCTGGCAACATGCATGACCTAATGCAAAGCGCAGTAACATGCCGAACCATGTTGCTTACTGGTGGCCTCAAACCCAAATAATCCTTGTTTTGTCATTTACCATGCCAAGAGCAGGTCAGGCTCCAGGAGACCTGCCAAGACATCATTTTCTCTAAGTTTGATCCAAACATTTGCTTTCCAGGCACCTCAGTTGATGACTATATTCACATTGACACATTGTGTGTGTGTTACTGCAGAGTGAGCAGTACATCTCTCACGGATTTGAAAACGGTTTGTGTCTAGAGGTACCACCTAAGCTCAGCACAGGACACTGGGTGCTAGAAAATAAGAGAAAATTTCACTGCTTGAGGTTTATCTCTGCTAAAGACAGTTTTCTTGATCAGTCTTCATTTGCTCCAATTGGCTTTTGCTCTCTCAGAGCTGCATCAAACCTTCCCTTCACAAATGCTCATGAAATAAAACAGCTGAGGTTGGCAAAACAAATTGTAATTAGTTAGTGTAAAACAATCGTCATCCTCCACTTACTAATTAGTGCTTATTAATGATTACAAGTTTTATGCAATCAGAAGATAACAAGTCTCATAATTTTGTTAGTGTGGCTTTTAGTATCAATTATTATTCTCGTTATTATCTTAAGAAAACCAGAAACTTGGATTTCTGCCCACTTATCAGCTACTCACAGGATCTGTCTGGTACTCGCGACTGTACAGTTCATGACAATTGTTGAAAATGTACTCATAGGTGGAGTTGAGGCAAGCTTTTACACAGTCCTTCACTACCTGGCTGGCTCGGGGTGGGCTCTGCAGCTCTTGGACCTGCCGAAGAGACAACAGAGAGAGTCAAACAAAGCACTGTTCACAAATCAAACAGGGAAAGAACAAGTTACCAGTTTGGGAACTACCCAGGACTTGGTGGAGGTGCTTTCAGCGACTTGTGCTATCAGTGACCTGAAACCATGAACAGGTCACTTTCCCCGGGCATAAAACAGCAGTGACAACACTTGTGTCCCCACAGGATCATTTGGAGCATAAAAGAGATTTTGAAGTGCCAAGGAACATTCTTCAGAATTAATAAATCACGTAGCTTGATATGTGTACAATCTGAGACAAGCACACACAATCTTTGCTACATTTCTAGGATTTTGCTATTGAATCAGCAAGCAAACTTTACAAACGTTGGAAGAACATGCAACAGACTAGTGGAGCACATTACATCTAATACGGGAAGTCTTGCTGAAGACCAAATACTCGCATGCGTTTATATACAGTAATTTTCTTTAAGGACATCTTTCTTCACAAGCTTTACTGAATTTTAACGCATACCAGAATCTTTAGGGAGATGCCAATCAATATGCCTCCTCCTCTTGTAGCAACATCTCTTTTCGTTATTTCGTTGCTTTAGAAAAACACTGCAGGGTTACTTTAAACTAAACTGATATGCAGGCATCACACTGTGAATAAAACTACAACCTGAGACCATTTTGGTATCGTCACTACCTCTAAACTTTTCAGAGTGTTTTTATAAAACAAATTTTCAATGCAGACATATTGTCTGAATTAATATTTTCAAAATAAAGTTTTAAAACATAATTTACCCTGGAGGTTAAGAGTATATTAAGCACTTCCTGAAATAGCTCCAATTAAAGACTTGCTTTGTTTTTGATATGATAAGAATTACTATGTGATATGTGCTAACCTAGAGCAGTATTTTTTAAAAAGTCTAGAAATAAAAATCAGGAATTAAAAATAATCTCATTACACATTGCTAGAACAATAAATTTAACTGCAGAACCAGCACGTGATCACTCACAACAACTCTCTCGGATTTCTATTGAGAGATACTATCCAATTTCAGTATCTTATTCTCCAAGAAATAAATTTTAAAGTATTTACTAAATGAAAGATGTTGAAGAGATGGCAGTGACCAATAAAAGCTGTAGAGAGTTATATAGGAAAACCTTCTTAATGCTATTAACAAAAGTAACTTATCTTCCTGAAACCAGGCAATTTTCTTTTTTCATCTTTTTATTTATTTTTTTTAATTACTGTGTGCCACATTTATGACTGAAGAACTCCAGGGAAAAAACAACTTTCATCATCACGATGCAAAATACAGTGACATAAAGATAAAACTTGGATGTTTATTACATGGTAAGCAGATGATCTCCATTTTCCTTAACTGTCTAAAGCATAAGGACATGAAAAAATGGTTTGAAAAAGGTAAACCAACTCCTGCGGCAAAAACTGCAGAGGCCCCACTCCCATCCCCACCCATAACACTACCTTCATCCTGAAAAAAGTGATGCTGGTCAGCAAATCCACTGTGGACTTCAGGTCCTGCAGACGTTCGCGGCTGCTGGCTGGAAAGTTATTCTGTTGACAAAAAAGGAAAATCCTGTTGGAAAGCACAGTTGGATCCATGCAAGGCTTCAAGCATGTGCTAAATAAGGAAAGTGTCTTGGAAACATTTCCTGCTCAAGAAGCTTGTACCAGTCAAAACAATGCTCAATAAATAAGGCCTTTTTGCTGCAGGAGCTTATCTGTTTGCTTAATTAAATAGCATCTCATATGAATGTAAAGTTTGCAGATGCCAGGAAAATGACAACCCTCAGCAGCAGAAGATCTCTCCTTGGCCATGGAAGGAGCAGGCAGGGAGCAACACCCTCACTACTGTCGGTCCTGGCCTCTGGCTTTAGGTTGCTCTCTGCACTCACTGCTTGGTTTTTGGCTTCTCTTCTGAGACAGCAAGAGGTGCGGTACATTAGCAACCCCTCCAGAGAAATAAACTGGGCTGAGAAGGGAAAATGAGCGCTGTTCCCTGTAAGAAGTCACTGTAGCTACTCTGCCCGCTGTAAGATGCAATCTGCCAAGATAACCACGTATCCTTCAGCGCCTCCTTCGCTCTGTCGCAGTTACTTTACATACTCTGCCCACAGCCCCGCTGTCCACAGCCATTGCTGCTCCTTCCACTCTCCGGGTTCCACTGAAATTAGAAGTCTCGTTGTCCCTTCCAGACATGGTACATATGTGTGCATGTGTGTTTGTACGTATATGATTGCATGTAAATGCACATGCTGAATGCAGCAAGCATTGCTTCTTGCAAGAGACTGTTCCCTTTCTGACATCAGGCACTGTGCCCTTTCCTACGTTCCCACTCTTTCCTTCCTGTGTCCTTCAACAACGTTCATGTTCCTTAGTAGGTTCTTATATTCAATCTGATGTCATTGGTTTGGCTGCAAGAAAAATAGCAAAGGCAACCTCCATTTGGATCGTTTCTTCGTATTTGCATGTTCAAAAATTATTAGAGACAAAGTTAAAAAAGGCAGAGGGGAACAAGTTTTCATTTTTTACCGAAGACTTGCAGAAAAATATGCTGTTTCTTGACAGCAATAGGGTTAGTTGCACTTCAGCTAACCACTGCAAGCAATTTAATGCTCTTTACAGTCATTTGTAGATGCTCATTCCTAGACAACTCTTAAACTTGAGTTGTCCACACACAGACTCTCTAGCACTCAGATATTTACCAAAATCAAAGACTTCCATGGGTCAAGATTTAAACACTTCACTTCTGCCCCTCTACTCTGCTCTCGTGAGTCCCCACCTAGAATACTGTGTTCAGCTCTGGAGTCCCCAACGTAAGAAGGACATGGAGCTGCTGGAGCGAGTCCAGAGGAGGGCCACGAAGATGATCCAAGGGCTGGAGCACCTCTGCTATGAAGACAGGCTGAGAGAGTTGGGGCTGTTCAGCCTGGAGAAGAGAAGGCTCCGGGGTGATCTTATCGCAGCTTTCCAGTACCTAAAGGGGGCCTACAGGAAAGCTGGAGAGGGACCTTTTACAAGGGCGTGTAGTGATAGGACAAGGGGCAATGGATTTAAACTGAAAGAGGACAGATTTAGATTAGATATAAGAAAGAAATTTTTCACGCTGAGGGTGGTGAGGCGCTGGAACAGGTTGCCCAGAGAAGTTGTGGATGCCCTGGAAGTGTTCAAGGCCAGGTTGGATGAGGCTTTGGGCAACCTGGTGTAGTGGAGGATTTCCCTGCCCATGGCAGGGGGGTTGGAACTAGATGATCTTTAAGGTCCCTTCCAACCCTAACGATTCTATGATTCTAGGAATGTTGGGGACTGAGTGCATGTTCTTGATTAGGAATAATAAAAAAGAAGAGATAACATTACCTACTATTGAAATTCAACCTCCTCCATGCTTATGTCAGCCAGCGACCAACCAACAAAAAGAAAAACTGACCTGCATACAGAATAACTGCACTTGCTCATAAAACACTTTTCAAAATAATTATTCAGAGGGTGACTTGGAGTTATTCTTGAGAGGGCTTCACCTCTCCCCTCTTCCCCTGCCCTGGAAGGAACACAGATTGGTTTGACACTTTCTTTTTCACAAATCCACACTACTGGTTACTCTTTAAGTGCTTACAAACAGTTTGATTAAATTAAGGGAAGAGTGAGGCTTAATTTGGGTCATTTAAGTTGTAAATTGCCATCTCCTGTCTTGAAAGCTGGAAACTAACACCTTTTTCTTTCAGAACTTAACCTGCCCTTCAGGGATCTTAAAACAATTACTAGGAGCACTCAAATTGCTTCAGTTACTTCTCTAAATATACTGCCAACTAGATAACATTTGAATTATTTAAACTACACAAAGCTTTCCTGGTCCTTTACATAAGATCTTACTTGTTTGTCCAAGGTTTAGTTGCATAAGCCACTGGAAGGCAACTTTTATTGAAGACAAGCAGACAAGAAAAGGAATCGCCGCTACAAATCCCTATGACCACGTGTTGATAATTTTCCCTCTGTTACTCAGTGCATCAGTGCTCTCTTTAGAACTTCTCTTACTAGTAATGTAGTTTTAGAATAGCTCCTCACACAATATTCCTTTTATCTTCTTTTGCACCTTGCTCCTTGTTCTTTTTGTTTGTCTTCCTAATGCACTTCTTTCAGTCCGCTTGTGTTTCCCTCCTCTATTTGTTTTACTGTGTTTCACATAAATGCACTAACCAGAAGAGGATCTGTTTTTAAATAAATAAATAAAATCAAAGCTCACATTTTGCCACTATTTTTAAATTTTTGAATGAATTAGTCACTAATTAAAATAATATAGCAAGGAATTTAAAAAAAAAAAAAAAAAAAAGAAAAAGCCAAGTCACATGATAAGACTATATTGACTCTGGAGTAGCAAAAAAAGAAACCAGAGGGTTTGAGAAGTCTGATGAACTGCTGCCAACATTTGAAACTCATCTCTTCCCAATATGATGAAGTGGGGGGGATCTCAACCTGAGAGGACATCTTGTAGATCCAGAGTCAGGGACGGTGATTTCAGTTTGCCAAACCTAAAATAAGTGAAAACATGGCTGCAGGTCCTCTAAAAGACTTCTGTCTTACTAGGGGAGAACAAGTCTGTTTTCCCTTTCTAGACAATACTTGAAGTAGCTGACAAGAATAATTTTAATTAATTAATCCATTCTAACTTGCATTTCTGGGACATGATCAGAGATGCGTATAGGTCACAATCCTTAAATTATTTCAGAAGTTTTGAGAAAGCTATAGTGGAAGAAAAAAATCATGATTTAAGTTCTATCCATAAGGAAAACAAAATGGTGTATTCAAGCAACAAGCTTGTCATGACAATTCCATAAGACATAAACCACCCAAAAAGTTAGAAATGCAAGAGAAATCCAAATTATGTGTTTCTCTTCTGCCCACCAGAATGTCTGAAAGGATTCTGTTCATTCCAACTCACCCTGTACATTGAGAGATCAATCCGAAGTGAATTATGAAGCTGGTCCAGAAGCTTCACAAATCGTTCTTTCTGTGGAGCAGAAAACACCAATAAACATCACATATCATCACTGTTCAATCGCAGCTCAGAGTAAGCAGCAGGATATCAGGGAATTAGTGTCAGATCTCAGCAGAGTGGGAGGAAGCAATATGGACGCACGGTATTGTGCAAACTATTTTCTTTCGCTTCTTGGATTTACTCTTATAGTGTAATTATTCCTGAAGTCTGCATAACATTAGAATTGCCAGAAAAATACTCCATTATCACTCTGAAGTACAGGCAGAACAAAACCCTCTGATTTCTAGTCTGCAATTTGCACCAAACTAATATTTAAGAGAAAATATTTATTCAGAGATGAATAAAGAAACAGGCAGAAAAGGGTCTAATTCAGAGCAATGACACAGCTCCAAGATCTTATCTATTAGTTCAGTGGCAAATATTACAGGTTTATCATTACTATCTTCCTAAAGTCAGGTCTATCTTCCAGATTCTGCTTTAGCATTGTGAACACCACCTCATTCAATCTATAAATTTTCAGTTTGACAGGAAGCATGAGCTTTTCCAAATGCTTTTTCAGCACGTTCAACTCCACCACGTTATATGAAATCTATTTTAACCTTTAGTGCGATAGACTTCTTTTTTGTTTTTTTCTTGAAGGAGTTACTGTTTTTAAAAACAAAGTTCTGAAACGATCAGACTGCACGGTGTATTTTATCAACAGCATCACCATGAAGAGTTTAATATTATTTGCTCATTTCCATACCATCTGTGCTCCAGTGTAATTTGAACACGAAGAATAAACATCACAATGCATTACACTGATTAATAACTAAAATGTGTGATGGTGACGACAATAAAACCATGTTCTTTGTCTAGGCTAGAAGAGCTCCACAGCTTCCAAATCCTCACAGCTTTAATGTTCCTTAAACAAGTTATTTATTGAAAGACAGAAGCACCGTAGGCTAACTAGAGAAGTCTGACTGTAACACCACCAAACATGCAAACATACCCCAAAATTGGAGGCTGCAAAGCGGTCCGAAGCAGACACGTTTGTGGAGGCAGTTGTGTGCGCATAATAAGCATTGATATTGGCAAGTAAGGTGCTCATCACAGCTGGCACACCTGGGCACATGTACTTAGAGGAGAGACATGCAAAATGCCTGCAAAAGGACAGTTCTGTAAGTCACTCTGGTCTCTTTTGTGTAGCATAACTTGACTCTGTCCCTTTAATAGTCCCCTTACTATGGCTGGCACCATGAAGAGATGAAAGTTATGTTTCCTCTCTTTCTGTAAATCTCCAGCATCTTAGAGTTTTTTCAGAAAGATGCCATCTAGACAACAGATATGCTCAAAACGAGAAATCTCTTCACTCCACTCCTTTCCAGATCATAAAATAGGTTCTCAATTGTTTGTAGCCAATGGCTTGTGACTTAGGTGATACCCTGGGTCCTGATGCCAATTCCTAAAACCAAGCCTGACACAAGGAAATTTATATAATTTGCTGCCATTTGAGGCAGCCACAGGTTCTGAGGTGACATGAGGCAGCAGCAATTGGAAAGCATTCAGGCAGAGAGAGATTGCACACTAGTATTTCTGTGCCGAACTGAGATGTGATTCCTTAGGGCCAACCCTTCCAGCCTGCAGGAAGCATGCATGCTCATTTGCATTTTCCCATTTAACCACTCTCATTAAAGTGCAAGGAATCCTCCTGCAGGAAATCTCAAAATTATGCCAGAAGCATCTGGGCTTGTGAAATGATTAAACAATCAAAGAAAATCTGTTAGGCATAATGGGAAAAAAATAATCAGAGCTTAAGAGCTCTGATATCACAGGACATGGCAAGCAAAGTTCATTCCAACAGACAGGAGACTTGAGCCATTTTTGAGCAGTTCTTTTTATGCAGGAATCCTCACCGAGCTCCCAGACTAAATTTGGGAACTATTTTCTAAATGTCGCTTCCTCCCTAAGGGACTCATTGCAGGCATTAGCTTCTGTGCTAGTTAACTTACAAATGATTGTAACCAAAAAAGCTCCAGTGAGAGAATTTCACAGGAATTCATCAGTCAGTATTTCAGCTGAACACGATACTGATGCCTGAATGTTAACTTGCTTGCTACATGATATCTGTGTATGTAAATTGGTCATTTAGGCAACAGACAGACACATAAAATGGCTTTGTTTAGCTTGAAGAAGACTAGGCATGAGAACTTTATTGCTTAGCAGATAAGGGAGAAGATTGAGCCAGGCCAAAATCCTTTTAGAGGAAAAACTAAATGATAAGCAGCAATGCAGAGCAGCTACAGCACAGGAAATTCAAAGTAGGATTTTCTAATTTGGATTTCGACCACGAACTTCTTTCCCAGAGTAATATAACCTGAAGGCAAGAGCCCAGAGAGGTGGTCAACCTGGTAAATATTTAACAAACTGAAAGAGGCCCTGAGCAGTCTGGTCCAGGGTCTGAGCAGGGACTAGACCTCCAGAGCTACCTTCCAATTCTTTTCCACTTTGGCTTAATTAATAGGCAGAAAAGGTGTTTGCAAGGTGATGTAAGTACAGATCATAACTCATTCAAGGACCCAAAACTCAAAACTTTCAGCTTCTAATGTGAAAAAGTTCACTTTTGTCTGCTATATTTAATACAATATTTGAAAAAATAAATGAGCTAAACATAGCACTACTAGTCTTTAAGAGGAAGAATGGCTAATCCCAAATCCAAGTAAAAGTACAGCGACAAGGAAAACCTCTTTGAAGATCAAGAACTGCATCAGCCTAGCTCCTGAGAGGACAAATCAGTGGCTCCATTACTCAAACTTCCTATAAATGCCTTCAGCAACATCTGGGAAATTAGTGACTTCAAAAGACTCTATCAACTGACACAACAGATTTGTAGGACAAACACTTTCACAAAACCTCATCCCTTCTCACATCATCAGAAATCTTCAGTGGCACCCTTGGGCAATATGTTTTTAACAGAAGAGTGCTCAAATAGAGATTTTAGAGTCTTAAAACTGGAATGGCTAAGATATCAATAACAAAATGTGGTCACTTAAACTACCAAAGTTGGTGTAATTCCTTAGAATTAGTTTAAAACTGCTTAGATAGATGCTTAATTCCAGCACTTTGTCAGACATTAATCTATAGACTTTGAGGAAACCAATGATTCAGAGACAGACAGTCTCTTCTCGCTCACAATAAGCCATGTAAGGAGCAGCTGTCACTGCCAAGCCCTCCATCAGCAACGTGTTTCATTATTAACAGCCACATCTATTAGCTACACAGATTATCTGCACCAAAGAACACATGAAACGCATCTTACGTCATGGCCTGGTATATTGACTCAATGCCATAACGCATTGCAAATTCATCCACAATCTCTTGAGCTGTCTCATCAAAATACACCTTCCAGGCATCATCTCCTTTGGCATCAGGGATCTTCACCACCCCATTCCCTTGCACGTCTGTGAGATGGTGAAAGAGGTTCTGAAATACAAAACAGGAAACAAATGGTATGCAAGACCTCCAAGTGAGTTTCACGAAGAGCTTGGAACGGCCGAGAACAAGACATCAATACAAATTTCTTTGCTCTCCTCTCTCTTTCTTACCCCCTACCCACTATGTGTTTCTTTGCTTTTACCTTCTTTTCTTCTTGAGTGCTCCTAGCTGAAATTTTTGCATGCATACCTACAATTTTACCCAGCAGACATTGTGAATGATGCAGAGGAGGGCTTCAATGCAGTGAAACCACAGACTAATTAGTTTCCTGAAGCCTACACATTTCTGTTCTCAGAATGAAATGCCTTAACATGGACAAGCTATTTAAACTAGATGACGTAACAGCCCTGTATCAGCTTTGTAATTATTATTATATAGCAGAACAGTTCAAACAAATTTTTTTTTTTTGAAAAGGACATCCTTAAGATCACCCCTAACTACTAGACGCTTGCATTATTATTCAGCATAACCTTCCATTTTATCTAATGCTGCAAAGGCTTTCAGCTATCACTGAAATTGCACATTCAGTTCAGTGGGTTTCTCAGTAATCCTCAAATTCATGTCACTTACAGATTCATCAGCCTTTCAGACAGCTGGCTCCCTGTAGTAAGGGATGCAAAAGTCTAATGATCTCATTACGAGCTAGAGGACTCTGCTTTACACTACTATTTTTCCTGATTAAATTATGCTAGCTGTAAATCATGTTCATCTTATGGTACACAAATGAAAGAAGGTGATACTTAAAAAAAGACATATCTGCAAAAAAGAAAAGCAGTAAGTGATCATGCATGTTCACAAGTTAAAACATGAAGCAGCTTACTAAACAGAAGCTATGCCTGAATTAAAAAACAATAAATATATATTGAAGGACACAACACAGACTACTAAAAGAAGCCTACTGATGTTTTTCTAAGCTTTGTATCTGTCTGTTCCCTGGTAAGGCCAGAAGACAACACAGGACTCATCTAGCCCAGTGTCTGGATAAATATGTTGTTTCCCACAGCTGAACATTTCTCTCTGTGATGCATTTGTCCTTTTCTAATCTAAATTTAAACCTCACTGGACCAAATGATACTCTTGTATGTCTAGTCAAAGTATGTCCCTGTTCCTTGCAGGGGGGTTGGACTAGATGGCCTTTGAAGGTCCCTTCCAGCCCTAACGATTCTATGATTCTACTCTTCCTTATTCAGGTACTTAGAGACTAACCCTGCCACCTTCCTTCTCTCTGGTACATGACTGGGCACCATGCATCTTTCTGCGACAGGATTTTCCCTTTAGTCCTTCTTGTAAGCTGTCTCTGGATTTCTCCCAACTTCTGCAGCTCTGCCTGCCCAGCTCAGTCCACCCTGAGACAGGTCAGTACCCTGTAACTGCAGCTTATCTTCTGTTCCTCAAGGTCCGTTCATAGCTACACACCAGCACAGCAGCACAGCACAATTTAAACCACTGATATATGCATCATTCAACAGCCAGAGCCAAAGCCCTCCCCAGATCAGAACTTACTCCTAAAGCACTTTAGTATGCTTTCTACATAAGACATAGGTACAGTACATGCTGAAAACGTCACTCAAGGAAATTCAGAGGTTTCTCCACATTAAATTCACAGGGGGCTCTGAGGCAGATCAATGCCTGATCTCTGCCTGACAGCAGCACAGCTGTGGCAGTGGGACAGACTGAGCCAGCCAGCATCCAGCACAGGGGAGACAGCCCAAAGCCGCCTCCTTTGCCTCCCTGACAAACGTGGGTCTAATGATTCAGAGTGTTCCAATGATTCAGAGTGTTCCCAGGCCTGCAGAGCAGGGAAAAGATAGCTCATCTAGGGCAAGGAGGAACATTTCAAGGAAACAAAGGTCGGAAAATTGCTTCTTCAATAGACAGAAGGAACATAGTGATGACTGAGCTGAAACTGCTTCTTACCTCATGAAGGCAAGTGTACTGAATATGATATGGAGCCACCTTCTCCTCGCCTTTGATTTCCACGCTTATTTGCAGGCGAATAGCCCCAGACACTGCAGACTTATCTGTTCTCTTCTCTAGAAGGAAAAATCATCAGCAATTATATGCATTGTTCACGTTCAGAGCAGAGCCATCGTGGGGTGACAACGCTGGAAAAGAAACTGCTGGAAGCTCAGGCTGAGCTTGTGATCAGAGTCACCATGGAGAAAGCTTTCTGACTTTTTTCTTTCAAAACATTGAATACTAAGTAGGTATCAGCAAAACAGCTGCCATGATACACCCTCAATATGACACATCTAGCTAGAACTATCTACATTTCTAGATGTAAGACAGCCTTGATTTGCTATAGGGTCTTAGACTCAGTCAGCTGAACTAGAACCACCAAGGACAGATCTCTTTTTTGAGAACATGGCTGACTGATGTGGAATTTGTTCCTGACTTCACCAAAGTCCCGAGCTCCTGGGAATTGCTGGTTGTCCCTATCAAGAAGATTTTGGATCTCCTAGGATTATTACTATACCTGTCAATCCAGCACCAGCTGGTTACTTGCCAGTACTTTCTACAATGTTCTATTTCGGTCACTAGGAAAGGTCTCAACAGATTCCCACTGCACTGTACTTGCAGGTCTTCTAGACTGGTAAAATGCTTGTGCTGGCACAAAAAAGGGAACAAGACAGGAAACGTGTCTGCAGCACAGGTGGAATTCAACCATGCTCCAAGCATTTTATCCATTGTACTTTTCAGTGCCTGACAGGGAAAAGCCATCACCCTTCTGACATGTTACACTCCTCTTCATTTCAACTAGGATCAAGGCCTTGCAGCTGCTCCGCAGCACCATCCTATGCCCCTTGAAATCATGCGAGCTTTTTTTTTTTTAACTTTCTTGCAATCTGTCCAGATGCACCCCGGTGCTCTCAAACATTCCCCAACTAACATATGACATACTTTCAATCCCAAAACCCTGCTCACCAAGGTTATACCACACATCCATTTCTCCACTCAGAGTACGGACTTCAATGATTGTCTGCCCCAGGAAATCATCCGACTCGCGTTTCAGTCTCTGCTTGACACGAGACTTGATGTCATCATCTTCATCCCATACTCGCACCTTGATCCGGTCAGAAGAATTATGGCACTCACTGCAAACAAGACAAATATAAAGTTGAAGAGCACATAATGCAGCCAATATTTATATGCTACATGCTTCACCCTCTTCTTGACCCACTTGTCCAACAGTAGAGGGATGCATAAAGAAAATGTAAACAAATGCCCATTTATTTAGAAGTGGAGTGTCTGACAGGAACTACACAGCTCATACACTCTGTATGCTCCTGTGACATGGTAGATACTGCACTTCAGATGCGTGCCAAAGGAGTGCCCTGCCCTAACCACAACCACCAGCTTCAGACGTGCTAAGTGGCTGTGACTCTCCTGCTCGTCCTCACTCTCAGCAGCAGCTGCCTGAACCTGGGAATTCTCTTCACTGTTGTGGCTTTTGCTGCAAAACTCACAAAAACCTGGCGATAGCTATGCTGGTAAACTCAGCATACACAGCCCAAAAATGCCGATGAGCACCTCACTGGTTTCTGATAGCTCTCCCCATTGATGACCTTCTGTCCAGCTGTAGGTGTTTAATGGCTACTTGTGCTTATGCATGCGCAGCATCTAGGATGGCACAGTCAAGGCCTATGACAAACATCCTTCATGCTGTTTTCTAATGAAAGATAAATAGTTCAGGTAGAGGTAGCACTCTTACTTCAGGATAGTCACAAAGCAGTAGTGTATTAATGTACAATACATTACAATCAGATCATGTAAACACTGCCTGTGCCTGGGAGGAAAGGGTGGGATACAGTAGTTACAAAGTTGGTATTTAATTACTAGAATGGGTTCTGCCTATTATTCACAGCTTGGAATGATACTTTGTGCTCTGGGCAGATCAGTAAAGACATTTCCAATAAAACCAAACAGTTTACTGTTTGCTGACTCAGCACCCTTCAGCTTAATACACAGGCAGAATTCACAGCCTCCCCTTCTTTTTAGGTGTTCAGATACCTTTTGTACATCCAAACAGGCTTCTGGATGTCAGAAGTGGATAGAAGAAGCTTATTGTAAGAGCTCTGCTCATTTACAGGGCATGCAATACAATAAAGCAATTTGAATGCTCATATGAAACCATGACAAGGGTGATTACTCACCATAACCACTACAAATGTCTGCCCTCAAGGAAATAAAACCTATGAAAACAGGCAACTTCTGTTGAAGGCCTGTTTTCCAGCCTTTTTAACATTAACATGCTGCATCTGTTGCTAAGCAACAGGGAGAAGGAAGAAATGGGTCAGAAGAGATCTGCTAAGTCCGGTCAATAAGACATGGCAGTGACTGGTATTTGCATGCCCTCTACCAAGAAATCATTTGGGCTCTTATTGCCACCATTGTGATTCGGGACTGCTTAACAGACGTCCTGCAGCTCTTACTGATTTTTCCAGTACAGAGGAATAGCTGGGAATTATACAGAGAAAGCTAGAGGCAATTCCATGCAGTTCTGATCACAGGCAGAGAGCATCTCTGCTCCCTGCTTTTCCTGTGCAATGAAAGCTGTATTTAGAGTTCAGAAGAAAGAAGGTTCAATATTTCTCTCCTGCCTTTACTCTCCCCTTCCTCCTCCTCTACTTCAAGGATGTATTCTTTAAGAAAACCATGCAGCAAGCATTCACAAGCAGAGAACGCTTGAACTGCTGCTCTTTGTAGCTCTTAAATTTATCCAAGGGCATTACCATATCTACCAGCAGCACAGCATAAGCACGTAAAAGAAATCCTCTGTTCTTAGCACGGCACACTAATGTACATCCTGCCAGCACCATAGAGGCTCAGTGTTCAGAAGTGCATGGGTGCCTAAAAACACAGGCTGGCACAGTGCCATTTATAAAGCACCAGCAAGTTCGCTCCTGACTTCTTCAGGCTTCACATTCTGGCTCACCAGTTCTTTGTTAGATTTGATTTCATTTCTTTGCTACCAATGGTCAGAAACTTGCTCTATCCTTTCAGAAAACATGCACTGTTTAGACCTGAATCTACCTTAGGCAGTCCTACATGCATCATCCAGTGCTCCTGGAGTGGCAGTTATCATCCTTCACTCAGCTACAGCAGCACAACTCACTGCTGAGTGCTACAGGAAACTTTCCAGTAGCATTTACTGAGCTACAGAAGCTTCTATTTTACCACATCTTTCTCTGTTGTTTTTAAGAGAATGCTGAATTTGAATTCCATATGCTGCTCCTATGCCAGAGAGAGAGCCTTATCACTTGCTCACAGCAGCTGAAAGCCTTGGGCTGGTGGCTTACCCATAAAACATCACCATCTAAGTCTGTAGGAATCACAATCCTTGCTTTCAGTGAAGACAGACAGTTGTGTCAACACTGGTTCGCTTTCCAGAGAGCACCCCAAAACAGAACCATGAATATTGGGGGACTTGGGTTTGCTGACCGACAATACGCTTTCTAACTAACGAGAAATAGTTTCCAATTTGTGACAGCATCACAGCTCCATAAGGCTGTGGCTAACGAGCTCTGCTGCTAGAAACCTTCCCTTTCATTAATACAGGAGCTGGCACATTTCTAAAGATACCTGCCCCACTTCTTGCTACATTTTGTGAAGCTGGATTTCACCACGTGCACACATACATCTGTCCAGTCTCCCACAGCTGAGCTCGCACAGCTTTCCCGAGAGGACGCAGAGAGAAGAAACACTCTGTGACCCTATTGCAAGGAAGAGACTACTGAATGCTTTCAGGTCCATTTCAGAGTGCGAGAGACTGGAAACCAGGTTCCCTTTGTACATGGCTGTGAAATTGTATCTTTCTTCTATGCCCATATTGTCCTGGTGTTTGCAGTGGTATCGTTTATATAAAGAACTTACTTTTACACTTCAAGGTACCAAATAAAGTAACATTTTCAAGAAATAGCACACTAAATATTTAAGAAAAATTAAAATAAAATAAATTGTGGGTTTTTTTCCATTAAATTTTTCTGACTGAAGCCAGTGGTTGCAGGAGCAGTGGAAGCAGTTGACCTGGTTCTGCTGACTTGCTCTCCACCCTACTATCTACCTCCACCTCTTCTGTCACGTTCCTTTTTGGCCTTACCCAACCCCAAACCACCAGCTTCCCACATACATCCCCTGTGCTGTCAATACTCTGGCATCTTCCCATGCCCAACTAGCAGCTAGGCTGAGGGGAAGCACGCGAGCACATGAAGCGTAGTTAATTCTGATCCGCACACGCAGTGGCATGCCCACACACACACTAATTGGTGTATTGGTGGCTAAACAGAACAGGCAACTGCTGAATTTACATTATAGTGCCTCCCACAATGAAGTTAGTAATTTGTATCCCTCTAATCTAGCTCCAACTTCCACAAAAAAATTGCAGAAAGTGATTCTTAGTTCTGAGATTTCTGCCCATCTATAAAGGTTGTCCCAGATTGGCTCAGATGAAGTCAGGGGTCTGGGACAGAGTATTGCACGTGCCTCACATCTTCTGAAAAGTGGAGAAAAAGTGTCTAAATACGACCAGAACATCGCTTTTGAGCCAGTGATTCATACTTTGAAGCAAAAAAACCAGTAACATTTGTGCTGAATTTGCTAATCATTTGCTGGTTGCGCTAAGAACATTTGCAGGGCTGTTACTTAACCTCCACAGCGCACGAACACTAAAACCAAAGTGATAAGCCTTGTCGAGTTGCAGCAACACTGACACTTTGCTGAAGTTCTGTCGTAAGAGACACAAAGCTACACCTACAAAACCACGTGTCCAGCAGTTCACAAAATTACCTTTACCCACAGTACAGATCATACATTTAAAGTATGAAGAGTGTCAAACTGAAAATCTATAACCTTCTGACACCATTAGCTGATGTTGGTGAACCTACACTCATGAAGACAAACAGTCTGGTAAATGATCATAAGGGTTTTTTAAGGTCCATTTGTGTCACATCTGCATGAATGTTTCTTCCCAATCAATTTCTCATCTCCGGTGTTACCAACATGTTAACCCTCCAGGACACAACAAGTCCTCAGTTTCATTCCACTAACGCTGCAGTGATACCTAGACTGCGCATCTCTAAAATGCACCGTGCAGATTAGAGAGGCGGGATGTCAACAAGATCTTACCACTCCACATAAACATGTTTATTCAAACCATGTTGTCTTCTTCTGTTTTCTGCCAAAAGAACAGGAGAGTCCAGAGGCCTCCAACGCAGCCAGGACTCCAGTGGGCTTGGCAGCTCCCAGAGAGGAAGACAGCCCCTACCTTGCAGAGCTGACAGACTAACGTAGACAAAAGGCAACAAGTAGATGTAGCAACTACAAACAGCAGAAGTGAGGGAGCAGAGGCAGCAACAATATTTTTAAGATTTAAAAGTCAGTCAGTCAAGCCCAGAATTTTTGTTGTGTTTTCATATGAAAAGGATACTTATGCTTCAAAGAGTCTAGTGAATGTCCATATGGCCATATTGTGTGAGCAGTTTCCTCTCCACACCACAGCAGATGTAGCTCTCAAGAACAGCCTGTAAAGTTTTACAGTCGAGTGCAGGGAACATTTCATGCAATGAGAGAGAAAGAAAAAGTGCAGAGCTAATAGCAGAAATAATGGATGAGAGTGCAGGATGTGAGAAAATGCACAGGAGAGAACAGACCAGCAAGACTTTAGGACCTGTGATCCTTTTATGAGGAAAGTTTAGCTTCTGAGGAGCCAAGCCTCAAAAAAAGGCAAAGTGATTTTCTGGAAAATCAGAAAGGAAGAAGCAGTTGTAGCAACTAGTATGAGAAAGTCCAGTAAAGAATTATAACAACATACACAGAAGGAGCAGGAAAAAAAAAAGTTGTCTACGGGAAACGGTCTGGCTGAAAAAGCAGGAAGATTTGGATGTGGTTCAAATGAAGTGTCTTGACATCGCAGGGTTCAACTGGCAGCTCTGTTGTGGCCAACCTCAACAGGAATGGAAGGCAGAAAACTTCACAGGACAGGTTAATTTTTAAACAATGCCAAGTCTCCTCTATTAGGGAGAAAAAAAGGACAGTGGAGAAGACACCAAAGGCAAAATCAGAGTGGTAAGAGAAGGAAACTGAAATCCTTAGCAAC